GAGGAGTGACCCTATTCATTTTCGTCGAACTGCGAATCTGGAGCTCTGAATGCGTGCCATCAGCTTTTCTTCGAACAGAAATCTGGAGCTCGGAACCAGGACCCTTCCGACAATCTCATCCCAACAGCTCCCCTTATCTCCGGATACTTTGCAGAATCTTGATCCATTTTTGGTGGGAAAACGGTTGGAGGAAGCGTTGTAGAGCCTCCTTCTTCTACCATGGAGTTCTTCTGTGTGGAACTGTAGCGGAACCCGAGAGCCAACAGAGTGGAATAACTTGTAGATGTGAACCTTGTCATTCCGACAACACATCCGTCCTACGAAGACGGAGAAGAAGATGTTCACTTACTTCATCATCCTTCATTTCCATTCACCGAATAATTATCGGGCTCAGTTAAGATTTCGCTGTTCGTCTCCGCCTCCCAGAACATCGTGGGTGAGGCCATTGAAGAGTTGGGTCTCTTCGGAAGAGGCCATTACCGATGTCCTCTCGGCACCCGGCCCCTGGCTGCAGGACCCTGAGGCCTAACTCGATGAGCTCGAGGGAGGCCAGGTACAGGAACGAATACGGGAGCCTTCGAGCGTAGCGTCTCAGAAATCACCGAGCTTCGCGTGAATTATTCTTTCTCCGTGCGAACCCGTGATTACGCGACCTCGCTGATTTTAAGTCGCGATGCGCAGAAGGATCGGCTCCATCGACCACTCGACTGGAACGATAAGATCATCTCTTTCTCTCAGATTGTGGACGTTCCGCCATGAGCTGCCTGCGATTCTTACCCACGAGCTAAGCAGCCGGCCCCTGGGCTGCAGGACCCTGAGGCCTAGCTCGATGAGCTCGAGGGAGGCCAGGTACAGGAATGAATACAGGAGCCTTCGAGCTTAGCGTCTCAGAAATCATCGAGCTCCGCGTGAATTATTCTTTCTCCATGCGAACTCGTGATTACGCGACCTCGCTGATTTTAAGCAGCGATGCGCAGAAGGATCGGCTTCGACCAATCGACTGGAACAATGAGATCATCTCTTTCTCTCAGGTTGTGGACGTTCCGTCATGGGCTCACCGCGATTCAGCTCCCTCGAGCTCAGCTCTCAGTATGAGCTCTACTTCTGAAGTTCCCCGTCCGTTGGTCTCGGATAGCGTGAAGCGCGGGAAACGAAGAGCCCTCGCTGTGCGAAGAACTCATTCCAGAACAGCCGTCCTAGTGAACATAGGGTTCCTCGCCAGTGGAACGGCAGATGAGGTATTCTACTCATGCAACATGCAGAATTGCTGATCGTCACCTTCCGAACTGTGCTAAGAAAGTGGGAGTCGAAATCCGCGCCTCACAGGCTGGGGTCTCCCAAACGCGTAGGTCGTCTTTGCGGCTCGGAGTCATTCGTTGGAAGAAATCCAAGAAGCGAGAAGGAGCGATAGTTTAGAACAGCGGTTCTCAACCTGGGAGCCGCGGGACTTTTCTGGGGGAGCCGCGGACGAATTTGTGGTGTAGGTCCGGGCCGTCAGGGTTCGTCAATTCTAAGGGAAGGTTCCGAAACGGATCAACCTCATCTGCCACGGTTGTGTTCCCGCCATTCGGTTCAGGCCTATTCCGCCCAACTCTATCGAGAAGTGAACGAAGCTAAAATTTATCTCACTCGCTTTCACACCACCGCACGGAGCACCTTTTGTTTCCTTGTGTCCTTTTATGGGAAAAAGAAGGGAGGGTAGGTAGGAGCCGCGGGAGCCTCGTGGGCACTGGGTATCCTGGGAGTCGCGGGAGCCGCTTGGGCACTGGGTATCCCGGGAGCCGCGGGGGAATTCTGGGTTCGCTAGGGAGCCGCGGAGCCAAAAAGGTTGAAAGCCGCTGGTTTAAAAAAATCGCTCCCGAGTGTATGACGAGATAGGAGTCCGTGAATATTGCTCGAATGAGAGCAGGGACCGAGCAGTAGCACGGTGCTCCCTGCGTTGGGCTGCGTTGCTCCCCGCTGAGCCGATTGCCGTCCGGACGTCGTACCCCGGAGGACTTCACTTGCTTGCTTAGTTGGCCTAGAATCTTATCGGATCACATTAAAGTGAAGCTCTTGATACACTTTGGTCTTGTGGAAGCTTTCGGAATCCCGGAGTAATTTTGTGTGGGGTCGGAGTACTCCCTCTGGGGCAAAACTCGGGAGGCCCGGGAGTGGGGGAGCGGAATCTCGCGCCGCGACCTGGACACGGTCGCTGTGTGGAATAGCAAAGCTCCCAGCCAACATTCGGGATCCGAGTGTTGCGTGAGACTGTCTCCATGTGAAATCACGCGCAGCAGCATCTACGTTGACTGATCTCCGCTACTGGCCTTCGATCGCTTTTTTTCGCAGCTACCGCTAGTTTTCTTCTGAAGCAGCTTCACAAGACAAGTCGACAATTTCTCGAATCGTGACACATTTGACGGTTTCAGAAATTATTATATTTCTCGGGGGTCTAAATTGAATCAGGAGAGAATATCTGAACCCATCCAATATTTTGGTGGCTTGTGAAATAAACGAGATACATATTCATTCCGTCAGACATTGACAGCTTGCGAGCAACATAATCGAATTTAAGATCACTGGGAACAGACGAATGTTTCGTAAGTTTTTGTTAAGGAATGAGAAAAATGAATTATCCCAGTATCTGCTGACGGTCGCCTTGATCAGCTGTCGCATTGAGCAGGCAAAACATTCATTGACCGCTCCGCGAGGCTTCAGACCAGAAAAAACGTTTTGTCTGAAATGTGTCTCGGTCCAGAATATGGTCCTTGTTATTGATCTATCTGACAGGAAAGATCCCAAAGAAATTTCTTACATTCCTCGCCAAGCTCACCAGCCAACGATCACTGAGAACGTTTTCTAACTTCATATAAGAGGAACGGCTCTCTTCAAGCGGAATCGAGTTCGAATCGCGGCCCGCTCTATGTCTGCGACATGATGCGGAGGGAGAAAGAGTTCTTTTCCATCGGAAGATAGTGGAAAGCGGAATCGGTCGAAGTCAGTCGCGATGTACCGTCGAATTCCCTACAGAATCTGTAATACATTGCAACATCCAGCGGTTTCTCTAGCCTATTAGAACGAGATCAGCGTATGATTCGCGAAGAGATCGTGTAGGGAAACCGATGAAGTCATCGGACACAACGCCCTGAATTCGTCGTGGGAGACATGCAGAATGTAGCGGATTCGGTGTATGCTCTCGGCTGTATTCGTAACACCGATTTACTGGGAGCAGCGGCTCCGTGGCACAAGTTCCGACATTAAATCATCTAGGGCATATTTGTCGGCTTCTAAATGGAGCAGGTTAATCTTCCACACCGTCTCTCTTCTCAACGAGTCCTGCCCTCCTCAAAAGCTCCCACGGACCGGACGAAAGAATCGAGCTCTCGATAGCTCCTCGCGAATATTGTCCTAGCCTCGTATTGTTGACGGATTCGCTGTATTCGAGCGTGGCGAGAGAGGAAGGCGTGTCCTAGTGACTTTTCTCCACTGACTAATCTCTGCGTCTCTCCATGAAACATTCGGGTGTCCACAGCGAAGGCTCATTGTTTGGACAGTTGAGCAGTGGGATAGTTGATCGATTCCACTCGTTCGAATACAGGCATCGCGAAAGGATCCGAAGTGTCGATCTCAACTTCGGTCCCCGGCCTTGGATTAACATCGAAGTAAAGTCTTAACGGAATCCACCACTCGCTCACTCCCTTGCTCACCCGAGCGGAAAGGGTGATCACGGGCCGCGAGCCAGCCTGCCAGCCAGCGTCCGTCGAAAATTTCCAGAATCGCGCGCGATCGCTCCCTGCTACGAAAACTCTCCGTACTTCGCATCATGTACCCGTATCTTGCGACCACCGCGTCGCACTGGACACCAGCCTGAATCTTTCCCCGCCGGCAGGTCGGCACCGCCGGGTCTCCGAGTCCCTCCGATTTCTGGACGTTTCCTCTTTCGATCGTTCTGGTATTCATCGATGTGAGGTGAAATGGTTCCACGAAGTCCGCTCGAATAGCTCTCTGCCGACTCCATCAACGAAGTGACGGGGTTTTCGACGCCGTGTTCGGTTCAAAGTGCTCGGAATGATCTCTCATGGGATTAGCCCGGGAACGGACGCCGTCAAGCGAGCGACGACAGAGCGACCACTGTGACAGTAATGTTCGTTGGCAGTTTCACGCAGGCGTTTCCGGAATGGCTCGTTTCAAACTCAAGGACATTTTCCGGAGAACCTCGAAGGTGCAGAGAGAGGATCGTGTAGATCTCTCGGTGGATCCTCTCGCTCAGCCGCATCTAAATGTCGTGGGCGATCACGGCCGCCGGTCTCTCGAATCGCTCGACGCAGCTGCTCTGAAGGAGGGAGCAGTCGAAATTGCATTCTCTTCCGACGGAATGTCCACAGGCAGCAACGCGACGTACATCGTTTCGAGGAAATGCGCGAGCCTCAGTGACAGTCCTAGCAGTGAGCATTCGGCGAGTCCTGTGAGTCGGGACGGTGGAGTCGGTCACGTCGCAGCCGTCCGGAGTCGGGAGCCCCGAAGTAGCCGGGAACGTGCCAACATTCACGCCATACAGATACCTTTAGTTAGTGCAAAAGTGAACGAGGATAGGCGTAGGACGGTTTCGAAAAAAGAAAGCAACAAAAAAGTGAATTTTTTCCGCGGATTGGCACAGAGACTCAAGCAGCACACGATCAGTCGCGGTAGCCGCGGAACACTTTCACTCGTGAGTGATAAGAGACGCAGGAATTCCATCGGTTGCGAATCAACAAGGTCCATTTCATTCACCCGGCCCCCGCTCCGAGGGACGTTCAGTGGAGTGCCATCAATAGATTCAACGAATTACATGAACAACAACAATGTCAGCAGCTGCGACAACAACAATCGCGGACCCAACGCTGGACCCAATGCCTGCAGAGGACTTCGAGTCCCCTTCAGCTTCAGTGACAGTCATCTGGATCACGCACCGGACTTTGAGGACGATGATTTTGTCTACCTCGATAGTCATGGCAGTACTCTAGAAATAGAGAGCGAATCGGCGTCTCCCGAGATCAACCCCGGCTACGAGAGTGTGTACAAAACGAGGAGTTTGGAAAACATCATGCCTCCGACGCCGCTCAGGCGACACCCGGGGTGGAAACGTTACTCCGAAATCCCTCCACTCTACGAACACAAAGCATTTATGAGCATTCCATCGCCGGTGGCCGAAGAAAACACTCCGAGGTCCTCAGCGGTCCTCGGCGTCGCAAACCCCTTCGAATTCAAGTCCGAAAACTCAGATGCCGATTCGGACGATGCAGACAAAAGGAGTTTGATGAGCATGGCGGACGCCCAGGTGATCCCTGTCGGCTCGAGGTTTTCCAAGCCGGAAAATGTCGAGAGACGGAGATCGGAATCGCCTGACATGGTTTCGCTCCGATCTCCCAGAAGCCAAAAACCGCTCGGGAAGAGACGCTCTCGCACTCTGGAGATCAGTGGCCCCTTCCATCCTGTCCATGTGGAAGGATCCTTCGAACCGTCCGTTGGGCTTTTCCCCGAAGAGAACATGCGAAGGTATCGGGAGATTTTCGGCTCGGTGCCGACTGTCAGTGCGGGAAAACGCTCCCGGACAGGATCCACTACCTCTGGAAGCAAAGCGAGACAATTCGTGCGAAACTTCATGTTTTTCCCGCTGCGGAAAGCCATGTCCGAGGAATCGACTCGTTTCGGAAGAGCCAGAAACTGGGAAGAGATCGCTCAATTTAGGATGCCGAGAGCGAACACTCTGAATATTCAGCTACAGGTTCCGGGTAGAGTAACCGTATTTCTTGCGTTTCCCTTCTTAATTAGCTGAAATTCGAATCGGGAGGGATGTTGTCATGGTGGAAGTCCTTACTTTAGACGTCGCCGTGAGTCACCTGGAAGGATTCCAGTGAAAATCACCAGCTTCTGTAACACGGCTCAAAATTAACGATGCAGATCCAATAGACGCTTCGACGAGCCATTAAGGTTTTTTCCCTTTCCCAATTCCAGATATCCGTCAACAACTCAACGAACAGCTCAAATGGCTGGACACTCGGGTGGACTCTCAGGCATCGATCGTGACGGAGATCCAGGATTATTTTCGGAGACGAGCCGAAGTCGAAATCGAATATTCTAAGCAGTTGGACAAGCTAGCGAAGCAGCTGTTGCTCAAGCACAAGAGCGAAAAACCCAAGTGAGTAGTCGAGCACTGAGACTCCGAGAAGAATAGTTCTAGGATGAATTTCGATAGTCTTCAGTTCTCCGAGGCTGGATCGCCTGACCAGGAGCGCTCCCTCGCGGGAGGCAGACCACGCTCTGGTTCCATGACTCCGTTTCGATTTGAGCTGAACGTGGTCAGATCTCTGATCCGTTGACTCAAGTGTATGCTGCAATGCATCTGAGAAGTGCGTCCGGAACTTCGGCCGTAGTTTTTTGAACTCGCACGGGGACGCTGCGACAACATATACCTGCTTGTGGCAAGAAAAATATAAAGAAACAGGAATGATCGGCTCAATCGTCTCACAATAGCCGAACACGATGCCAAGGACCTTCGGCCGGGCCGGCCAAGAAAGAGCAGAGAAGAATCTCATGGGAAACGGATGGTGCAAATTTATGAAAATTTATTTGCCGTAACGCACTGGGAACATCTTTGTAAGGGGCGTTCATGTGACGTTTCTCATTCGGCTTGTATAATCCTCGTTTTCACGCAATTGTAGGAACGCTCCGGGAACCCGGGGCGTTCAACGCAAAGGATCCAGAGGAATAGTGCGTAGATCTGTTGTATGCTACAATGTTCGTGCTCAGTTTGAGCCCAACGGTGCGCGATCTCCTGTCTCAGTCAGAAGGTGATCACACCTTGCTTTTTGCTTGAGCACGAGAAATGTTTAATTCAATAGCATCGATATCTGCGAGTCAAATCGATCCCGAATCATCGTATGTTTCACTTTCTGGGACTTGCTTTCCACCATTGTTGACCCAGAGGCTCCATCACGATGCATGGGGCTCAAGTTCATAATAGAGGTGAACCATGTACGAATACACGGTGTCCGAATCGTTCTTCAACCAGCTTAAGCGAAAGGGGTAGAAGAATGGTTCACTAGCACGACGGCGGGTCCTTGAAAATCCTATTCCAAGACTGGAATATCGCATCACAGCTTGCGCTCGTTCGCTCGCAGCATTTGGAACCGCCTTGATGTGCGTGGAATTGTCAAGAAAATGTGGGATGGTCTCCGAGAAGATTTCAGTCTTCCAGCGTCGATCATAGTCCGTGCGCACGCGCTGATACTTCTGTTCGCGCGACGCGGCTCGAGGCGTGTGGTTTTCCATCGCTTTGCACATCGTTTCGCGGGAACTCGAGATGGAACTCCCGTTACCATCGCTCTTGTGTTCCCGATTCTCGTCCTTTCCAGCTTGAATTAGGAAACGATTGCTCTTCACTCTTCCGATCCGTCGAAACTCAACCCGGAATCTTCGACTGGGTATTTCCGAAAAGCTAGCTCTCTGCTCACCGAACAATTTTCGTCGGAGAAGATCATCGAAAGTGAGGAGGGGAACGTTCATTATAACGTGCCTATGTGACGCGAAGTTCGTATGATCGGACAAGGCTTCACCTGTCAACCCCGCTCGACAGCGCTCGTCAAGAAATCGGAATTTAAAAAGGGAGAGACGATTTCTGGCCACGGTTGACTAGCATTAATTCTTGTAATATGATAATGACAATAACAACTGCTCCAGATGGAGTTTACGGTAGCCTTCGTGATGTGTAACTATCGGCCCGTCATTCTTCCGATTCGAAGTTTCGTGGTCAGCGTTGACCACTTCAGCACGGAGTTACGAGGAAGGCCAAGGAGCAATCACGGCTTACCCGATAACATTCTCGGCGTGTAAATAAATAACCGCGTCTCTGAACAAATAGTGGGTGAGCTTCAAGCCGCCGTGGACATCAAGTTTACAAAAAGATGAATTTCATAGCCATGTGGATCCAGCCATCGACGTCTCTTGCCTCCGGCGCGGGAGAATGAGATCTTTACCGTGAATTATCCTTTCAATTACGCGGCTTTTGATAACCTTCAGTGATGGCCCGTGAGAGATGGTAGATTGCTGAGAGGATTCGTCCGCGGTTCACGAGTGATTGTATTGATCAAAATCAGGATGGGGTCCGTAGAAAAGTGTACGGCTTCCGTACGAACATGGCCACAGTAGCGGGGAAGTGGCTGTACTGTGAAGGACGCTCAGCCGCGAATTCGAATCACGACATCTGTCTCATTTGTTTTATTTCTTTTTCTTGAGCAGGCGGGAGCAGTGGCACCTTTTTTCATCGTATCAATGTTGGCTCCAATTGATCAACACGACTCGGAAACAAAGCAGCGACCATGCCAAGGTGAGTGCGATCGTGAGACGGTGTATACTTTCCCGCTCTTCCCCCCCCTCTGTAATACTTCCTCTTTTCAAGCTGTAATTCGCTGCATTTCCCTTTTCCTCGAGTCGAACGTATACGAATTTCCCTTTTCTGGACTCCACACAGAAGTGAATTGGTTCTACAGCGATCCACGACTGCCAATCCTCTATCATCTATTGCAAATGTCGGGTTGCGCCCCTCGCGGCTGACAAATACGGTTTTGTTTCTTTGGCACGAGAGAGTCATCCCCGAGGATTTGCCCGTTTTCCATTTCTGCCCGGCACCGTCAATCATCTGATAACTATCTCCCGGTGGTTCGGCTCCCCCTCCCCGACTAGCGAACTCCTGTTCAGTCTTGAAACGAGCCTCTCGAATCGGTGAAATTTACGAGAACAAAAGAAATTCGATATTGTGGCAGAACGATTTGTGCTGTGTAAACACGTCACGATTCCGTGATCGAATGATTGTTAACAATTTTCACGTGTGATCATTACCCAATCGGTTTGCGGATACCGTCCGATTCTGATATACACAATCGATGAATCCGATGACTATGGCACCCTCAGTCCAAGCATAGCGCCAGGATGTTCCTGTTGACATTCCTTCCGTTTGATTTCCTCTCGATTTTTTCCACGGGCGACTCCTCTTTAGATTCCCTCCACCCTTCCTCGATGGTACCTAGTATCGTGAAGTTTGCTCGGATGAACATCCCAGAGATCGCAATTCGGAAGCCGAGCATATCTTCATTACTCATCGAAGAATCATCTTCCTCCCTTCGGAACATTTCTCCTAACTACTTCTTCATTCGTCAAGGTGGCTGAAGTGTACCAGAATCATCTGACGGCCCGGCTGCTGCACGCAGCTGAAGATGTGCAACGGGTGTATCGGAAATGCCGCAACATCGGAATCGATGAACACGAAGAACTGCTCAAAATTCTGCACGAACTTCATACGGTGAGACCTGCTATGCCGAGCGAATTAGTCTTTGATTTTGATTCGCTGGAGTCAGTAGGATCCGACGAAGCAGAGAATTCCGCCGTCGCGTCGCTGAGATCGTGGGATATTGACAAGCTGTCATCACATCGGTTATGGAAACGATTCAAGCTTCGATTCCCATAGGCGCATACCAGAAAGAACTCTTCCTCGAGAAATGTTAATCGCGTAGATGTAAGACAGAACGGCCTTTTTCGGGCAGCGTAAAAAGCTGAGGATCATGAATACCCGACTGATGTCCCTCAGACTGAGCGACTTACCGAGAGCGACGTGGCATACCGATAAATTTGAGAAATTCCTGAGGGTATCGGAGCTTGCTTTCGCCGGGCGCAACGATGTCACTTGCGCATCTTTCCGATGGAGTTTCAGGAATGCGGCGAGGGTCTTCATGTTCATTCAGATCCCTCAGAAATTCGACAGACTCATTAAGCTGAACTTTTTTCATACATATCCCACACGTATTCTCGAACTGCTGTAGCCCCATATCGCAAATCGCAACCGATCCCCGATTTTTGCGTCTCGAATTCGTTGGGATGAGATTCATCGGATCGATCCGTCTATAATCGTTTCGTCGAGGCGTTGTCTTCCTATTGGAGAAATTCACGACACGACGTCGACTCTCGTTGATGACGCCGTTTCTGTTCTGGATCATCCCCAACATATTGCGTCATAGCGTCACCATGGAACGCGCGCCTAGGCGTCGCATTGCGACGTACGCTCACAGACAACCAATAATTTCAAACTGCTTTACGGTTCACGTATAGCTCGCCCGCCTCCATAAGTTAAGCCCATCGCTTCCCCAGATATTCGATAGATCCGAGGATATCATAATCCTGGAGCTCCTGTCTCTTTCGCTGAGGGAGTCGAATGACTCAGTCAGAGCCGACAGGATCGAGGAGCGATATAAGAAAATACAATACGCCTGGGGACCAATGCGGAAATAGATTTTCGACGAGACCAGAAAGAAAACTCTGAATCCGAGTCCCACGCGCCAGGTTCGATGATAAATGCTGGCTAGCCAGACGGATCGTAAGGGGTCTTTAGAAACACCAGAAAAGCTCCGAAAGGACCATCGAAGAAAATCCCGTGCCAACAGAAAGCGTTAAATGCTCCTCTCAGACTCCCTTCCCGGGAGTGTTGATATCAGCTTTTCATTTCTTTGTGCAGAGAGCGACAAAGTCCAAGATGAAGGGGAAAGCTTGCGAGATCTGGATTGAGAGGCGCGGATCTTGCGGATTCGATCCTGCTTACGTCAATCCTTCGGAGTGATGATCGGGATAACTGGGAATTCGATGGACTTACGGACCCCGGTCAAGCAAGACGCGTGAAAGGGGTGGTACATCCGTGAAGACGGTCCGTGGATGAGGAGTTACGAGTCGGGCGTTGTTGATACAAGAACCGTAGAATCGTCAAAGCTCTCCTCTATTGTTTCCGATCCGAAATTAAATACACAAGGTTTGCCACCACAACCCACGCTCGCTCGACGAATGGCATTTATTGAAGTGACGTCTATAAACATTCATCCCGCCAGCCAGGCGCTCGCTCGCTTTCCCGCCGGTCGACGGAAACTCATAACGATGTCTAACCACGGATTCGTAGACGTATCTTCCATCCTTCTCCGCAGTGAGCTGTCGCTACGCAATCACGCAAACGTGTCGAATAATTCTGAATATTCTTATTGAATAGTATTTCTAGAATTTCTCCACACCAACTCAATCCGGACATGGAGCCAGTGATCCCGCTGTCTCGATTCGACTCCGAGAGGAGTATCCAATGATCTTCCCCACTGAAGCCCTCGTCTTGATTCCAGACAATGAAAACCTACCATTCATACTGGGCTCTGGAGCAACAAGCAGCTTCGAAACTGGCCGTAGTCGAGACGAATCTCAGCAAACTCGAGCAAGGTCTTCCGAAGGACAAAGTCGCGAAATCGAGGAGGTAAGGCAAGAGGAAACAGAGAAAGATGATGGAGCGAGATCACGCACAATAATTCGAGCACTATGATCGTCAAAAAAAGCGCAGTTCGTTCTATCGCAGCGTCTCTCGTTAACCGAACGAAATCCCCGAAAGCCAGGGAGACGCTTAGCGAAAAGTCTTTTTTTTCTCGTTTCGGTTTCGCTCCTCAAGCAGCAAATTGGCGGCTCCATCTGTCACCGCACACTGTTTCCCATTTTCCGCCATCAATATTTATTTTGACAAGCAGCTCAGGCTCAGGCTGATTCAAACAACTGCCGCTGTTCTGGTCGTACTTTTTTTCTGGTCTAAATTAGCTTTTCTTCCGTCCCTATCCATCTAGATATCGTCTGCTCAACAAAGAACGGCAGAAACGCTGGGACAAGGGCGAGGAAGCACGCGTCAAGGCGCTCAAAGCACGCAACGATTACGTACTATGCGTGGAAGCCGCGAACGCGGCTGTACAGAAGTACTTCGTCGACGATGTCTCGGATCTAATCGACGCGATGGATTTCGGTTTCCACACGAGTCTTTCCCGATGTCTACTCATGTACAATTCGACGCTAGAATGTCAATACAAATCGCTCAAGGGAAGTCGAGACGCAATGAAGAAGTGCTTGGAGACGCTCGACTCGCGGGCCGACAAACAGAAGTTTCTCGAGAGCTACAACACCGCGTTCATGGCGCCGCCGAAATTCGCGTTCCAAACCCACAAGGGCGACGTGTCCCCGATGAAGGTCGTCAACGTGGAACGGGCTCAAGTTCAAGTCGAGGACGCTATCTTCGAAGATATGGAGCAGAGATTCCGCCTACTACAGAACCGCCTCACCGATCTAAAGATCGAAAACGAGGAAGTTTGGAAAACGTTAGAGACGGCCGAGAAGACACTCATGAACATGATCGAGTCGAGGGACTACGACATGTCTCCTCACTTCGACTCGGGCTCCGATCAGCCGCAGGTTTCGATTCTCAATTCGGCGGTTCCCTCTTCCATCGGCGGACATTCGATGGAATTCAAAACGAGTCTGCAATCCAATGTAATTCCCAAAACGCCTGAAACAGCTGCAATCAAGCTCCGGGCGGACAAACAGGAAACCGAGGATTTCTACTTGGAGAAGTTCCGGGAGTATTCGACTCAATGCTCAATCATCTCGCGTCTCCAAGCGCGGTACGACTGCATGGAGAACGCTCTGACGAAGAATTCCGGAGTCGAGAGGGCACGAAGTAATTTCGGTGCAGTGGGGCCACCGAAGCGGCCTCGAAGGAAGCGAATCGGACGGCAGGCCGTAACCGGGCAGCCGAAACTTTTCGGGGGCAGTCTAGAAGAATACGCTGAGGCCACCAATCAGGATATTCCGCTGATAATCCGGAGCTGTATCCGAGTGATAAACCTCTATGGGCTCCATCACCAGGGAGTTTTCCGCGTTTCGGGATCGCAGGTCGAGATCAATAACTTCCGCGAAGCTTTCGAAAGAGGTGAAGATCCGCTGGCGGATATTTCAGATGCGTCGGATATAAATTCCGTGGCGGGGGTCCTGAAATTATATCTCAGGGAGCTCCGCGAACCACTGTTCCCCATATTCTTCTTCGATCAACTGATGGAAATCAGCCGTAAGTTCATCTCCGCGACTCCTCTGGGCAAGTTTGTTTTTCGAAGAGAAGAGCCCGCTCCTAAAATTTTGGTTAGTCATGTCAGTCGAACCGATGCCCAATTCGATTTCTTTCGCAGAGTTGACATCGAAGGAACGCGAAAAAGAGTTCGTCTCGAGGGCGAAGGATGTCGTGAAGAGGCTCCCGAGACCTTCGTTTTCGGTGCTGCGTTTCCTCTTCGCTTTCCTAAACCAGTGAGTTCGGTTCCGCCCCCCTCCCACGGTGGGAAGACTTTGCGGCATAGAATCCGGCTGGACCGGTTGGGGATTTCAGCCAGCGTTTGTGAAAGTGAACATTCTGTTTTCAGCTTATCCGAACTGAGCGACGAGAATATGATGTGTCCGTACAATCTGGCGATTTGCTTCGGTCCAACCTTACTGCCCATCCCCGAGGACAAGAACCCGGTGCAGTACCAGCCGCTGGTGAACGAGCTGATCAAGGGTCTAATAATTCATCAGGAGGAAATTTTCCCCGCGTCGGAATACGGCGGGATCCTGTATGAGAAATACATTAGCTCCTCAGAAGATCAGCCTCCTGAAGATCTAGACTCACCGTCGGACGTCTCTCAGACTAACATCACTCTCGAGACTGAGGAACCTCTGAATAACACAGATGGTATGGGCATCAGGGGGTTGGCTTCATAAAGTTTATCGACAACGATCATTCTGGAAGATTCACAGAGGCAGGCTCGCGTTCGTTCAAATATCCCATCCCTTCCAGATGATCTAGTCAACGACGAGCCCGAGATCTCAATGAATTTATTTGGGAGTAAGTTGATTCGAGTAAGATCCAGCCGAATACGCCGTGACGGAGTGTGTGTGGGGCTTCAGCAGGAGCCGAGAATATGTACGGGGGCCGCCACCGTGTGGAAGTTCGGTGTGCTCAAGCTTCTTTCAAAATCTTACAGAAGAAGACGTTCTTGAAGTTGTCGCCCAGTACGACTTCACGGCGCGTCATCAACGAGAGTTGTCTTTCAAAAGAGGAGACGTTATCCATCTTACGGAGCACCTTTCGGCCGATTGGTGGAAAGGCTCATTGAGGGGACAACAGGGTCTCGTGCCTGACAAATACATCATGCTCAACATTAGGTGAAGATCATCGTGTTCCGACGGAATATGAGATATCCTGAACACTTGCCCCCTCTAACGAGGAATTTCAATCGGAAGGGTTCAATGATATTCGTGGATTCTAATTGGCCTCCTTCGATAGGGACGAAAACCGCGAAGGCTCTCAGAAAGACAAAACGTCGTCATCGTCGGACAGCCTCGGTTCACCGGCTTCGCAACGAGAGCTTAACTCTGCAACGTCGACAAAATCAGCGAACTCGCCTGACGGAAGTATTTCGTCGCTCACGGCAGAACCTCGCTTTCGGAGGAGATCTCTCAGTCCCAGCTCGACCGGTACGAAGAGTTCCACGGTAGACTCGGTGTCGAAAAACATCTTATCCATCGGTCACGAGACCGCACCGTGTAGACTCTGAAGAGATCTAGGGGCGAAGTAGCTCCCTCCGCCTCGCCGATCATAATTCAGGGTCGGCACTGTATAGCCTCCCGTAGATTGGCGGATGACTCGGGAAAGATCACTCAAGTCTCCCCCCGTATGATGTTGGAAAAAATCCAAATGAGAGATCTGGTTCTGCAGTCCTCATTATTGTACATTACGTCCTGCGATCTTCCTAGCGGGAGCCGACGCTGCTCAGACAGGAAGATTTGTAGGTAGAGGATCGTTCACGTCTAGAGTCAAGATCGAAACGAAATAAACGTATCCCAAAAATCCCCTCTCGATTCAATGCTTGATTGAAAGAAAATAAGACGCTTTCGAAAGGAATCTTGGGATGCCATTCCATCTCCGTATTGATGCTGCGATCGAATTATGGGACGTTCGTAAATCAACGGATCGATCGGAAGGAAATATACTCGGAAAGAAATCACCTTTCAACTTCCCGAGTATCTCGAGGAAGAAGAGTCCTTCCGACGAACATCTGTCCAACCCGACAGAGCCTTTTAGCTCGAGGATAGCTTTCAGAATGTATCTTCAAATGCAGGTCGAGTCGATTCGAAATCCAGCCAAGAACCGCCTTTCTCGGTCAACGAGTGTTTTCCGATCAGATTGTTTCGATTTGCTGAAGAATGTTCTCGGGACCCCGGCTGAGTCTCCTCCCCACGATTGCGTAGCTCCTCCCAGAGGCTGAATAGATTGACTCATAGGCTTACGCTTGAGTTCGATGACGGTGCTTGACGCTTCGCAAGAGAGAGTCGAGCCTCCAGATCTTGTGTGTCTAGACTAATCAGAATGTCACTGCTGCTTGTGATTAACACTAATGCGAGCTTTCCGAATCTTCAGGAGATCGTTCTCCTGGACAGACTGGCTCTGCTACGATGTCCTTTAAACGGCGGTTGAGAGCTACCGCAAGCGTAGGTGATGCGACCGGTGACTCGTCCTCGTCACCAACGTCCTCGCTGGAGGAAGGTTCACCACTGTCAGGTAAGTCGTCGCTTCCAGGAATCCCCGAGGCACTTCTATATGTAACGATTGGCTGGAAATGAATATCTCTTCGTGAGGGAAATCCGAAAGCTTACTCTATCAGATATAGTCAGTTCTCTTTCCAACTATCAGATATTTTTCAGGTGCTATTTCCCGACTTCGTCGGCAGAGTCCTCTGCGAGGCCATCGGCAGCCGACGGTAACTCCGCAGAGGCGGGGCATTCACGGAGATTTCGAGTCGAGCGCGAACTTGGCACGGGACCTTTCGGAGGCGTTGAACGACGTTATAAATAACCTTAACGTTGTCGATGACCAAGGATCCGAACCCGAGGCCGCCGTCGAGCGACCCGCTACAGCCGATGTACCTGTGGTTGTGAAATCGTTGAAGAAAGACGCTCCGGACCTTGTTCAGGACCTGCCGCCGGCTTCCGGGGGATCGTCGGGAGGCGAAGACGACGTGGATAACGTCGCGTCGTCGAAAATTACAGATGCGGTATTCGTGGACAAGGTCCCCGCTAGCACAAATCTTTTGACGACAGAATCTCGATCCCAAAATCTCAGTACTGCCGAACGTTTTGCGATGACAAATCAGTGTACGATGCGCAAAGGATCACCAAGGTAAGATTCTATTGAGTGGTTCGGGGGAATCGGAGCTCGATCAGGATGTTTCGATTCAAAGGGGCCTGAGACCCATGAGTTCAAGTCTCGGGGTTTCTTAAAGAATCATGGATTTTCAGATCTTCTGCTCGGAGCGGCACTCACGTCGTCGTGTTGAAGGGATCGACGTCTCCTTCAACATCGCCCCAGTCCAATTCCCTGCAATGCACACCACAAACCAACGGGAACTCCGTTCGACGGAGCTCTTGTGGGAGCGTGTCCCCGGTCCTCTCGATCACCGGACAGTCCCCCTCCGTGCAAAAGCTCAAACGAATGTTTTCCGAGCCGGACAGAACGCAGACACCACCGTTGAGTCCAAAACCGGCTCTGAAAGCGAAGCCGGTCACCTTGTTAAAACTCAATAGTCGGAAGCACCCTCCAGTATCACCTCGAACGACTCCTCCGAAAACTCAAGAGATTCTCAAAGAGAAGTCGCCCCTGGAAAACGAACTGATCGTGCGGGAATACAGGCAGACTTCCTGCTAGATGCTAGATTTGTCAATGCCAACGAAAGAGATCCTCTAATATATGATGTTTCCGAATGTATAAGGCAAAATTAGCCACGAGAGAAGGAACCTAATGAAACTTGAGGATAGCTCACACCCAGGATGTATGTAAAGGAGGAATCTTTTTGTGAACATTTTTGAGAACAGAACCATTTAGCCCCAGAGAGCGCGGAGGAGGCATGGCGAGGATTGCGCCCTTTCTGTCGAGAAAGGATATTCAGCCGACAATCCTTGAAGCAGACTGATGTGGCCCCAAAACGTCTCTTTGAAGGGATGTTTCTCATTTTCCCGAAGGAAACACTCTTTGCGCTCATGACTGAGAACTTTCGAAATTTCACTCAAACACCAGCATGGGGGAAACTGCTGAAACTGATCTGCTGCAGCGCAGCTCTGGCGAATTAGCGGAGCCGGAGCTTTGGGTCGATGGTCGAAAAACGTAGTCTTAATTCTATCGGGAGTTATCACCAGATCCGGAAATCCGTTCCTTGTGTTCAGACGTAGGACCAAAGACTTGAATTGCTTCGATGTTTTCGAGTTGGCTCGGATTTCAATTGCCAGGTAGTTGTATCGAGCTTGAGATTGAAACAGTCTCGGGAATCTCAAGCGTACATGACGTTGCCCTCGGGGGCTACATTGTAAATTTTATGCCTTCCGTATCATATAGCGCAGTGCGCACTCGAATGTCTCCGCGAAATTGTGCGCTTTCGATCTGAACGGTGAGCTGGCATTTTCACCGCGATCGACGCGATCAGAGGGATTGGTGAGGATGTATTCACTAGAACAAATACATGAATAGGACTATACATAACGTCGATGATATATTTTTTGCATACAAAAGTACTCGATTGTGAATCGATTCATCGGATTTCATAAGGAATAAATCGTTTAACTGTAATTCCCTCTTTTGCCGAAATTCACAATTCAGACATGATTACCGCTTGCGCGGATTCTAGGGAGAACGAACCATGGGAGTTCCACAGAATCCAGTCCAGGATTCGAGGTTTTGGAGTGAAGCCAGGAAAAGAGGGAATCGGGACCAGAAACTTTTATCATACGCGACACGAGCGCCTTCAACAGAATTGCCAGAAGGACGAGAATACTGCTGGGAACGCCGGCCTTGCGGAAAGTCGCAAGGTTGTAGGAAGCGAACCGATCGCTCCGGTGCTAACACCCGGAACATATCGATATGTAAAAGAGATGAAAATATATTAGTGATAGTATCTACAGCAATAAGGGATACCACTTCGAGCTGCTTTTTTTCGAGAACGCTGAGCTGCGTGCCATGCCTAAAATTCCTTGAAATTAAATTAAACCTCTGTTTCTCCGACGCCAATCCACGGAAGAGTTCCGATGCGTGTTGGGATATTCAGATTGCTCCGAACGAGCCATACAACCGCCGAATAGTATCACATCTAACCGTACGAAGGCTTGTTGCGACGCTTCGAGCCATTGTCAGAGGTTGTACGCTGCGAAGCTTGCTCGACGGCCGGCCGCAAGACACTCTGATCTATGGCAGCGGTAGCGTCGTTGAATCCGGCGTTGTGATCTCCTTGTTGGGCAGGCTCGGTGGTTGGGGCGCTGAGGCGTCCGGACACGGGACTCGCGGGCGCATACGCAACAGCTGGAACGCGAGCGGCGGGAGCAACTAGACGAGCAGCTATGGGAGGTTGAGGACGCACTGCGCTTCGAAGCGGCGCGGTGTACGTGGAGGGAGCCGGTGCGCTGTACGTGGAGGGAGCCGGTGCGCTGTACGTGGAGGGAGCCGGTGCACTGTACGTGGAGGGAGCCGGTGCGCTGTATGTGGAGGGAGCCGGTGCGCTGTACGTGGAGGGAGCCGGTGCGCTGTACGCGGAGGGAGCTGGTGCGCTGTACGTGGAGGGCTGGCTGTATGGAGAAGATGAGGAGGACGGGGACGAGGAGATGTAGGAGGATTGACTGTAGGAAGGAGGGCTGTAGGCAGGCTGAGTCTGTCGAGCGGACGCTCCTTTGAACGCGTAGTTTGCCGACTGGATCTGGCGTTGGTACTGCTGAGTATATTGGATGGCGGCCTGTTCACCGGTCAGAGCAGAAGACTGAATGGTCACGTCAGCGGGATTTTTCGATTCAGTCCCGAGCTCGTTGGTGACGATGTCGGCGCGGTATCCTCTCTCATCAGCGGTGTATCTGTGAACATTCGAGAGGAGCTCTGTGATCGCCGACGGGATCGTCATCCGAATCTCGGCATTTCAAATGCAGCAATGGTGAAATCAATAGCAAAACCCCCCGCCACTCGGGGATCCAGAATCGGCTCAACGTAGATCAAAGATAGCGAGAACTCACTTTACAACTCGGTTGCGTCCATCGGCCAATTGGATCGTGTACTCGCCGGAAACTCGCCCTTGGGCATCCGAGCTCGCGCTGTGGGAGTGTGAGCCATCTCCGTCCTCGGCGGTGTAGGAGAACGAATAGGGTTCGGCGGTCGGAAGGGGTTCGTACACTTGGTTCGGCCCGTAAGCCGCTGAAATCCGAGCGGAAGAGCGGCCATCGGGTGCGTATGAGGTCGGTTGAGGTCTCCCGTAAGAAGAGGATTTCACCGCGTTGTTTGAGTAAGTCTGAGGGGTGACAGGTGCGTAACCCTGAGTGGGGGCGTAAGTTTGGACTGGTGAATAGCTCTGTACAGGAGGTTGGTATCCATTGGTGGTCATAGTTTTGGCTTGATCCGGAACGTAGGAAGAGGGATATGTCGATTTGGTATCGACAGAGCCGTAGCTCGGTTGATACGGGACGTTGTTGACGGCGTTGTTATTGACAATCGCCGCGGTTTTGGTATAAGAATCCTCGTCATAATCGTCTCTACCGGCCGCTGGCCTTCCATAACCAGCGAAAGCTACGCCGGCAGCTGCGGCGGCTATGATGAAGGCGCGCTGTAAGGTAAAGAATATTGAGCTGCAACTCCCTGAGTTCCGATCCCGAAGGCACTGGAATCGTCCTGCACTGAACGGATATCAGATATTCTGCGGTTCGAAACTCGGAAAAAAACTCGCAATCAGCCGTGCTATTTTTGTTCACTTGAGCACTTCCTGTGGCGTACAATTTGTCACATTCTCTCGTCGAGTTCAGAGTACTCGAGAGCACGAAGCGTACCATGTCAGTTGCTAGAGGAAAGATGTTCGGCACTGAGTGATCGTTTGCTGTACGAAGCACGCTTTTTTATATTCTTTCGGGTGTACGGCACTCCTGGGATCCCCTCTCCTCGCGGTTGACAACTTCTCGCGGGTCAGAAGAATCCAAGGAAATACATAGCTCTTAGTATGAAGATGAACAGAATTTCATCATCAACAACAACAAGAACATCATCTACTTCATCAGCTGACAGAGTGGAGAGGAACAACGGACTACCGACCGCTAATGAAGTGTTACAATGAATGCTGAACGGATACGTCTGTGAACGCCATGATCTGGAAATATTCTGCGATAGCTTATTTCTTCGGTCGAGTTCGAACGGCTCGGGGGTTCTCGCGGGATTTCCCAGTTCGATGCTAGGAATCCGAGAGGTCAATCGCGTGAGTTAGACCTCGAACCACTCATAGAGGGAGTCGGATAAGCCGAATAGTTTGGCTTATATTCGATATTATATATTCGATACAGACGCAAAGAGCTCATCTTCTTCCAAGGTCATTGAGATTCTCTCTCAGACTTCTAGTGTACATTCTCAATACTAAAACGCATTCCTCGATCTCCTGGAAATTGTAGAGGAGATAAGAGGCAATTATAGTGAGCATTTCTCGACATTCATGGACTTAGCTAGGGCCTCTGCTTTTGACACGCCCCCTCCAGATCCTTTTGAGATTTTATTGCGATAGATTGTGACAGCATGTGCGACCCCTGATAACTAGCCAATTTTCGAGGGCCGTTTCGACCGAGTAACCACGGAAGCGATCGCCCTGAGGAGCCCCGATAGAAGTGGTCCGTTTGCGCAACCGATTGCACGAGACATGCCGAATCAGTTCAGCGAAAGATTTACAGCTCGGATAGGGATCAAAAGTTTTGATGGCATTTGAGGCGTCGTTCTTATTGAAACGCGTAGTGCGTCCGGGCCGTGGACATGATTGACCTCGTCCGTCAGAAGATAGGATAAACGTCAGGAAACGCGCCGTCCGACACCGGTAGGAGACACCGCGATGTCCGAAATACCTCGCTGGACGACACTCACGCATATGTATGGACCCTTCGATGGACAGCGGATATTCCGTCGAGCCTATAAATTGCTTGATGCAAGTCATGCACGTCTGCCGACTCATGTCATATCTCTAGTGGATCGTAACGTCTAGCTCATACTTCGGTTTGGAAATCGAGAAAATCGCGGGCCAGGATCCTCCCTCTCCGTTCCACCAATACCGTTGAACTGAAACTGGAGGGGGCTTCGAATCCGTCGAGGGAACGCGATCCCTCTGCATTTCCCCCATATCTTCAATCCATCCCGATACTCGATGCGAAGATGGAGACGCGGAGAGAATAAGAACATTGAGTCTCAAGTTTGTTTCTGTATCACGCTGTATGACACTGTCGGTGGCGTCGCCGTCTTTGACGTGGGCGACAGACATCCTGGACCAGGGCTCCAGAACAGAAGAATCCCGGACGCTGAGGACAAGGCTGGGAGACAGCAGCTCCGCCGCGAATAAGACGCACGGAATGCTGTTAACAAATGTGATGGATCCCTGCTTCGAATCTGTATGCTAATGCCTCACCCTTGTGTTACTGTCAGAAGTCAGCATGACAAAAAGCCGACTAAGCGAGCAAGGAAGCCCATGAAACAAAAATGGCTCGTTCCGATGCGTGTATCTATTCAAAGTGTCGATGTGACTCTCGACTTCCCTGATGAACGCCGGTCTACTCATGGCTAGCTGGCTGGCTGGCTACCATCAGTCGATCCGCGATTCAAATGCCAATCCTTTCACGCGACATGTGGTTCTCGCAACCTCGTTTTCGAAGCGCCATTAGATCATGGAGACGCCGTATCAAGAACCCACATCAGGTCCATGGCCGTGAAAACCGATAGGAAAGGTTTTCCGACAACCCGACCCTGCCGAATCCTGGGATCATTCGGAGACGGCCGGAAGATTCCCCATCACAGTCAGAAATGGGAGCTTTGCGCTTCTTACACGTATGATATATGCACCTTGAAACTTGAAGGCGCCTGATATCAGGAAGCCACGTCAGATGAAACTTCCACGGCGAGAAATATCCTAGTCTAGGAGTCGGTTTCGGCGCTTGCTGTCGCAGTCGTGTCACGGTATGGGTGGGATTAGTGATTTTCTCGTCATGGATTGAAACTTTTGCGGGATCCGACAATCGATAAGCGAGCTCATCCCAACCGGGCGCTGGCCGTTTATGTATCGATGGTGGAGAAAGGTGTTTCGATATTCCGAGGTCTTCGAGAGCTCCCGCTCTCCGTGAGGCCGGGTAGATGAGATTCTGTAGGAACTTGGCCTCCGAGTCGTTTCCACCCTTCTCAAACATCCTGTTGCCCTCCTTCTTGTCGAGACCCCATATGGCATTACCTCAAGACGGGCCTCTCTGAGACGGAATCAGCGGATGATCCTCTGGCGGATCCTTCCTGAGCCGCCGAATATTCGACGATTCATTCGATTGCTAGATCCTGGCGCTCCCCAGCATGAAACTGTGGAGTTCCTCGGAGGAGAAATAATGAGCTCGATTTGGAATGGGTTGGAAGAACGGAGAAAGATAGAGGAGTGAATAAGAGAGTCGCTCACTCAGTCATGGTCATGGATATTGATCACACGGAACTTAACAGCTCCGAGCTGGGGCTCGAAAGGAATAACTTTATTTACATCATCAATGGCTCTGTCCAGCGCAGAATTATTTTCGTGTTCTGCACGTTTCCAACTGACAGTCCATCTTTGATGATAGAACTATAGAACACAGCGGTGGGAAGACAACGAAAACTGTTCTGATAGGTTTACGAATAAGTAAATCAATTCAGGTGGCTTGTGGAACCTCGCGCTGGAGCAATCTCCTATCAAAAACGAGTCCTCTCAGATCGTCCTACCCGAGGTCTACAGAGTACAGATGCAATGAACTCCACGAGCAATTTTTCAGAGATACTTTCATAAACATTCATCATAGACCTGGGGAGCCGACTGGGATTCAGTGGCGATGGCACTGGAAAGAACAATGTCGCTGAATGAGCTAGAGAAGCTGTGCGGATCGTCCATCCTTCGCGGACAATCTTCGCTTGGTGTCGAGGGAGGGAGAAAGTCTTGCGATCTGCGTGTTGAGTTGCAAAGACCGTCAAGAATGGACCGTCGCGAATGTTCCACTCCTCGCACGCATCTGAAGTTTCCCGCGGACTGGTTTCTGCCGAAATCTTATCGCACGCTTTTAGCCACTTTGTATAGCTTCCTTTTGGACCTAAGTTTCTCACGAAATTGCATAGCTTCATAGTTCGATATCAGAGCAGGTCTACTGTCGAGCGCGAGAGAGCTTAACTCCTTGCACGACGTTGAGGTCATGAGGAGTCTTCGCTCGGCCACAACCCGATCGAGCTTCTTGATACCGAGTGAGCTGCTGTGAATTTCGGTGGCCTGATCGACTACCACGACGAAGTCGTAGAAATGTTTCTCCTACTTCAGACTTCGAGAACAGCCGACGTCGGATTCAGTACGTGGGGTCCTGCTTGCAACTGTTTGATCATGTCCTCCATTTCTTGAACGTTCTGGGCGCTGCGCTCGAATTTGTGAGCAATGAGATTCCGGTAGAAATGCAGTGCGAAAAACAGGAACAAACAGACGACCGGGATAAGAACGATGGTGCCTGTTGAAAAGGAGCGAATCACAGTGAGCTTCATATCCTGGGAATGACTTCGAGATATCGCGAAAAAATGTTCCTCGTCAAATGCGGGATGTAATCCAAAGGTTGAGATGATCGGAAAATCCTTGACAGGAGTGGAAGTCGATAAGCTCGCTCCATCTCACCTGCGATAGCTGCATGTGGGGAATCGATGAAAACTACCCAGCAAATGATTGCAATCTCAGCGATGAACAAAAGAATCCCGAAGACTGTACTGGAACCCCACGCAATTTCAATATACACAGCCATCTTCTCATGCGGAGATTCGTTGACGGCAGCGATCCCTGTAAGGAAAAGCATCTTCGAAGCGTTCGGGAGGAAGGCGAAGTCGAGAGGAAATGAGATGATGGCAGAAGCGATTCGTCGAGCGTAGTTTCAGTGCCCTGTTCGACTAGGAGAATCATTGTCGCCTGCGAGTGTATTTCCGATGCCAAGCAAAAGTGCGCTCGGAAAATCTCGAGAACAATCGTCTGTTACGCTAATGAGCTCACTTACGAGAAGATTCAACCTTTTGTTCGCATCAACCCATCAAGAGAATCTGAGAAGTCGATCGTTTGTGATGATTCTGTCTCATCGTCCTTATTATTATTGTGACGACAACGCCCTCACCAAGTACCAGAAGCGAGTTTCAGCTACAGAGATAGAGTAGTCCCAAAGTATCATTCGAATAATGCTAGGGAGGCACGAATGCTGAAGCCTGGATGGCGTGAAAAACCAGTGTGGGAAGGACGACAGATCCTCGGCTGCCACAGTTACCCTGCATAACTTAGAGAACCTCTTGTTCCTGCGGACGCAATATCACTTGATCAGCGTCACCATCCATGCCCTTTCCTCGTACAAGCAGAACGATTCGATTCCGGAGGATTTTGCGAAATAGTCCGAAAGGGCGAAAGTCGGGCAACGGAGGGGAACATTCTACAATAGAAAATTCCCGTCCGGGATCTAGATCGTTTCAGATTCGTAATTGGTACTCGCGCGCTTCTCCAAATTTGACTCAGAAGGGGTCCATTCGATATCCCACGATAACCTCCGCGCGTGTATTTTTCCCCGATCTGTAAATAATCTGCGGCGTTTCTCTGCTTCTCTCCCGAATTTTCGGCAATTGCATACGGAGAGAAATGAGCAATAATAATGACAGTCGGATGGAGGAAACGCGAAATTCCTGGCATTACGAGGAGTCGCTCCGGCGACTCGCAGCAGCGAGGAGACGAGTCTCTCAAACAGTCGGATGCATGATCCATCCCAAGTAAACAGTTTCTCTCAGCTCAATGTCGACATTGAAGTCAGCCTTGTACGGATATGCTTATTTCCGACCAGCGTTTCTGTCAGAAAAGTCTGCCAGGAAGAATCATCCTCGACACAGGGAGAAACGCCTTTATCAAGTCAGGTGGATGGAATCGACCTACCGTGTATGCTCGCGACGGCTTCCAGATTTGGGAGTATGCACGTAGAAATCATCAGCGCCAACATGTGAACGGATACTAGGAGTGTGGTGCACACACAGAAAGCGATCAACAAAGGTTCCGGTATATCTTTGGTGAGGTTTATTTCTACCATGGCCACCTGTAAATGAATTTGGAGTCTAGATCACAGCTTTCTCCGAAACTTTCGATTTTTGAGAAATGAGCCCAACGAATAATGATCTCGAGGGAAAGAGCTGGTTTTGGAATCTGCATCGTCACTCACCATGGCAAAACCCGCGAGTAGAGCCGAAGTCCTCGCGCTGGCTTTAAGTTTCGCCCTGGACAAATGGAGTCGGCGCCAGTTCAGAGCTGTCACATTATTTTCCGGCTTCGACATCTCGCGAACTTGAACGGAAGAAGACACTGACTGTGAGCTGTGGTTCATGTGGTCCGACGAAGATCGAGGAGCGGGGAACATCGTCGCTCGGGACGAATTCAGATAGTCCAGAGAGACTGAGGTCGTGAAGACGGACTGCGGTGCCGACATTGTGAAGGTCATGCTTGAACCATGAAGAATTTTCCAGCTAGTGCGGGCACATTCTCCTCGCGATCCGACGCGCGCTCGATTGATCTGAGTGAGTCGTGAAAGCGAGAACCTCGAATCGCAGAGGAGTATCTAGACTCTTTCTGTGGAAATGGGAAGCTCGCAGAAGAATCGAGGGAGACGGAGCGGTGCCGCAAGAACACCTTCCGCCAGCCGGCCACGCAGTCATTTAGCCAGCGAGTCAGTCACTTGAGTCAGGCAGTCAGCCGTGCTGACTAAAGCGCCCGAGGAAGTCATCGCTGAAAGGCGGCGAATGCCCCTATGAGCGCGGTTGCTTCGAGAGCTGTATTCCCTCCTGCCATCCGTTCCCATGATCACGGCCTGTAAACGCTCCTCTCGGCCTTCCCCAACCAGACCGTTTCTTCGACGGATTCCACAGGTAAAGGGTAAACGTTCCCCCGACGAGTGTGCGGGTCCAAGATTTTCCGTGATGTCAGGATGATTAGCAGCACTTTCTTGAGAGCTTCTGCTCGAGTGGAACGCCGTTCCTCCTCGCAAAGGCTACGAATCCGTTGGGAGGAGGACCGACGCGGCGGGGCGATCACACCGAAGGGCTGAGCTCGGAGCGTTTCTTCTCCGCCTTTCGAATGAAATTCCCGCCACCGTACTGAAAGTGTTGCTAGATCGTTGTTGAGCTGCGTTCAGCCAACGATGATCGATTTGGCCACGTCAGCGTGACGCGCTAGAAGCTACGAGGAACGAGTCGTGAATAAGTGGCTACGACTTACACTGCGAGGATAAGGCCAGTCACTTATCCTCCACAACCTCTGAGAGAATTTCGATCGCTTTCCTCCACGAAAGCTGACATCGTGAGCTCGTCACCCGAATTTCCTAGTCCGATCGTTCGATGGGATATGAGCAGTTACGATTGGTAAACGGTTCGCAAAGCCTCAAGCGTTCTCCAGATGCCGCGATGGCCGTCGCGATTGAATTAATATATTGGATGCGGCCAGTGAAGTCACGGGGGGTCGAGCTCTCCATTTGGAACTTGCGGCTCTAGCTATACGCGCTCGGCCGGGAAAGAGTCACGAGACAAAGGCATTTCAAGCGCAGATCGCGCCAAATATGGTTGTCTGCCATCCCGATCGAATCCATAATCGGGCGGCGGTGCTCCAAATATGACACGTACAAGAAGTTGGGGTGTGCTTCGCCTTCGTCCACACGGGACGTCTGAGTCCATGCTGCGGACACCGAGAAGCCAAGCGGGTGTTCCGGAATTCTGTCCGGCATGCTTTGAAATTCAAATCATAGGGCACTTCCGATCATGTTACGGCTTTTCGGGGCTCTTTGAGATAATCCCTCATATGCAGGCAGAATTCTCAAATGGGAGAGGGTACGAAAGACGGAGCAAATCGTGAATGCATGCGAATCTGCAAGGCAACTTGGGATGAAAGTCTCCAGCATCGACTTCTCAGAATCGGTTTCAGATTCCGGCATAGCTCGAGACTTGCCGTTCTCACAAGGCAGAGAGGATCCTGCCTCCTTCTCAGTTCGACCAAACCCTCGATCGTCGAGTTGAAGTTTCTACATAGCCTAGGACAATTCGAGTATGGAGATGATGATAAGTACAGCGAAATCGGTGGATTAGTGAATGAATACGGAGGGAGGTTACTTGCTTAATGGTTTGTGCCAGTCTAGGAATTTTTCCTCTTCGAAACGGATCTCCCTCGGTTCAGGAGATCCCCACGACGTACTCAGCAGTTTATGGTGTACGTGCTCATCGATCTCTAGCGGCATTGGTCCTGGTATATCACTCGGGGATTTCACCCGTCTCGTCCAATGAAAAGAAAAACAACCGAACCGATTGACCAACAAACAGCCTCTCTGAGGCACCCGGTATGAATACACTCCGAACGGCGGTCAGTGGTGGTGCAGCCGCAGCGGCTGCGGATCAGCTGCCATCAAGGTTCCCGAACGTCGTCTGCTTCAAACTGACAATCAGAGTCTCGTTGATAATGATAAAGAAGCCTTTTCACAGGCGGCCTGATTCCCTTCCTAATCTAATTTGATCTATAAATATCGATTCCCTGGAAGCGTCACACTGCTTCAAAAGAGCGTGTCGGAAGCAAGGATAAATCCGATTTAACCCAGATGTCTAACAGGTGGGATCGTCCGAGAGGACTCAGGTGCGGTTCTGTTGGAGCCGATCCAAGGAAGGAGGATCTGGAGTGTTTTCAATCACAGGATGTCCCCCATGCTACCCAACAATCTTCATGGCTCCAATTCAGGATGTCGGCTGAATTGAGAAAACAGTATCGAAGTCTCTTCGTCGAGAGCTTCGTGGATACGTCGTCCCAGCCGCTCTGATTGTAAACAGGAAGCACCTCATCCACGCACTACCACGCATTGCTGGCTGGAGCGAAAATCAACCGGTTATTAGACTGCCCTGGGTGGGAAAAGTTGGAGAACTCACGATTTTCTTGGCTCCCCTCGTCATCGCTCCGTTGGAGAGGCATGTCTCCCGTCCGGTCCTGCTCCTGAGTTGAGCAGTGAGGCGAGCGTTCGGTTGAAGAGCTGTACAGAAACTCGGATTTCCCCCTAATTCAAGGTTCTGCTCATATTGTCGGTGATGGAAACATCAGAGGAATGTCAAGGCAGCACCCTACGCGCTCATGTTCTCCATCATTTCTCGGAATCCCTCGCGTCACATGAGTCGTAGAGAGATCCGCGTCTGGAGCTTTCAGCCTTTATGTCAGGAAAATCTCTCTTTCCGATTGGCGCACGAATCTTCCCACTAGGTGCACTCATGGAGAGTCACAGTTGTCGACTCGACGAGCACAAGTCGGGAATTCAAAGAATTCACATTGAACTCTTCCACAAGGGCTGTATACTCTGACAGCTCTACGGAGCGCTTCTTGCAGTCGACCACAGCAGGAACAATAAACAACAGAACCCTCTTCCCGTGGATTGCTGCAGCAGCGGCCACGGAGAAAGCGGGCGGGCCGACAGCTACTCCTGTAGCCGCCAGCGGAAGACCGTCAGACAGTCAGCCACTCAGCTGTCGGGTTCGAGGCGTGTGGATCACGACCGACTCACACTGCCGCGCCGCCGCTCGTGAATCCATTCCGACGGATGATGCTAAATGAGGAAACGCCGGCAGATTCTCATCGGAGTAATTTTTGACAGATCGTTGGAGATTCGAACGATCACAGATTTGTCCGGTACAGAGCGGGTTCTCGCATGTGACCGTCATGCGTTGATGCGGCTGGCTCATGGCAGAGATTCTCGATCACGTGGGAGACTACGGATGGACTACGTACCGCTGTGACAGTTCGAGGATCCATGTTCCTTACGAGAAACCGGAACTCCGGTAGCGCCCCTGCACGATTGAAGATCCCTCATCTGCAGAAGGCGATGACGCTCGCAGGAAAATCCCCACTCGATATGACCGTGATAGCCCCCCTCCCCGTTCGAATATTAGACCACCATATGAAACGTCGTAGAGATTTTCCCTGGGCTCCTGGATACACCACTCGCTGGAGGGGTTTTCTTCAAGATACGGGCGGGTCGAGGGCACATTGTGAGAAATGCAAATCAGGGCGGTGCCGGCTGGAAAGCTAATCCCCGGAGGGCAACCGCGGAATGAAGCATCTCTCGATCTCGGCGATCATTCGAGCCTACAAGAAATGCCACTCTGGGATGTTTCAGAAAAAAACGATGAGTCCAGGACAAATGGTCGCCCCTCATGGTTCTACCAGAGATAGAACTTTTAGATAGAACTTCCCCTTATCGGGGAAGTCGAGATAATCTGCTCCATCCTCGGAGGTCCGCCCGTCATTCCCTCTATTTCTGCATGTCGCATGAATTTTTCCGCCGTTCGGTCTTCCGGTCATGACGCCGCCGTCTGGGACTTCCAGTTTCCGCCCTCGATTCATTTGCTTGGACCTGATGGCCCTGCGGTTTTTCGACGATGCTCTCCGAAACTGCGCTGAATGAATCGGAATCATCTGCTCGGGGTCTTCACCGACCAACTCATGTACCCAGAAATTCCGAGTCGCTCGACCTCATGCATTACGAATTCCAGATTCCTGATCGGCCGAGCTCCTCCGAATTTCTCGAGCGGCACACCAATTTCACAATAGCACTTCCGGCTGAGAGCATGGATTAACTAAATTCCCCTCGTCTTTGAGCGAGATACACTCGTTTTCGGAAGAGAAACTTTCACCCCGAGCGCTGTGAAGGGTTCTGAGTTCACGGAGTTCCAATCAACTCTCAGCTCTCATGTGAATCATTCTCATTTAGCTCGAGTACCATAGCAACTATCGTGGACCGTATAGAAATGTATCGAAACCCGCATTTCAAGGGCGAGGGGGTTCTTTCGAGATTCCGCACTCTCGGTCGCGGATGCATTCCTGCCGATGTTTCGAAGGCTACTCCGGGGCATATAAGAATCAGTACACTGGTAGAGCATCATTCCTAGAATATTCGAGCCAGTTTCGACGAGAAAATCTCTTGCGGCGTCCCCCTTGCTGTATTTCGCAATTATCTGATAAGGCCTGCATCGAGCGCTCTCGAGTCCGTGTGATAGAATTCAAAGGATCATTGTTGAGAGAGGGTGTACTACTGTGATCTGTGGATTCTCTCCGCTTAAATACTCGCAGGACGGAGCGACCAGAACTTCATTTTGAAACCCCGAGACTGCAACCTCGGTCGTCAGTGGATCAGGGACCTTCCCGGGACACGTTCAATCATTCCTCGGGGCTCGCAGAGGAAGCTCCGCGCTGAGAACCCCGTCGTCCGCCCGGCCGCCGCTCGCTCGCCCACTAGCATAAGCTAGGAGAAGGGTGTGATCTCTCTCCCACACCAAACAACAGACATGGCGTCTAGCGACGAACAGCTAGGTCGCTGCGAAACTCCTGGAGCCCCAGGAACTACTTTTTCAAAGGTATTTGAACTTTGTCGGACTGGATAGAGCGACAAATGAGCTCTCGATTGATATGCGACTCGATACCAGGCAGTGCGGTGCAGGTGTTGAAAATCGCGTGGCTGGGGTACTCCGTGGGGCAGTTGGGCTTTGTCACGTACACCACTCTACACCTGCACAATAGACCCGACCTCATTCTCATGGAACCAGTGTTTGCCTGAACGATTCTTGTGTCCCATCGAACGTTTGAGTAGTATCGAGGAACTTCGTTCCGGTGCCGCAATTCCCTCCCACCCACAAAACAGCTCCTCTCTCTCTCCCGCATATGAATCAAAACATCCGTCATGTGAACTTTCATCATATGTCTTCCGACTAGAACCTTGCGCGAAGCGTTAGCAGCGGATTCGAAGACGCGATTTTTTCTTCGATAGTCGGGGTCCGTAAAGCGTGGTCTCGAGGGTCTGTGTCTGTGGAACTTCGTTTGCGGTGTTCGAAACTTCCCTGCGCGATGAAAGCGCAGTGCCTCCGACGGAGCTAACGGTACACTCACCCGGGGGCCTCCGCGTCGTTCGCTTCAAAAATCATGGTGCATGAGGCATGAATGCGCATTGCCGCAAGGAAAGAGCAAAGTTTTCCGCACTCGGAGAATATTCTGCTCCTTGTCATTCTGTCATTATCGGACCTTTGTGGCACGATACAGTGGGCCGAATGCACCATCGGGGAACCGTAAATTCTTATTTACATCCCGATCCGCTCATTCGGTGATTGTCTGATCTCAAGCTCAAGATTTTGTCTAGCGTCTCCTAATGCCTTGAACGCCTTGCAGAGAATCAAGGAGCGGAAACACTACACTGATGAGCTCGGAGATGAGTTCCTGGAAGGTGGACGCACGTTCACGATCGAGGACAAACTCACGTCAACCGAATTCCAACCGGCCTTCGTCCGGGAGATGCCATCGGGTGCCGATTTCTCTCTCAAACACTTCCAGGTGAGTGACTCTTCCGAATCATGTGCTCATTATGAACTGCTATCAACACTTATTTTTGGATGCGAGATATCCTTCCGAGAGTATCAATGATATTATCGCTCCCGGATCTGCCTCGCGGAACCCAGCCTGGGAATAACATCGCATCTGTTTTCGGTAGGAATTCGGCTTCGAGGAACCATTGCTATTCAGGGATAAAAGCAATCTGGGCATGCGGTAAGTCGATATGATCCGGAGATCTAAGATTCTGTTTTACTCCCTCTGTTTATGTTCTAAGAAGCCATCCTCGTTCATGGATCTGCACCGAACTTGAACCCGATTCCCCCTCTCATGTCCGCAGGTTGCCATCGGAGAAGTTCAATGTCAACGATGTTCGCATGTGCGTGGGATCTCGACGTCGACTGGACGTCATGGACGTTATTACGCAGAAAAACACCGAGATGACCATGAAGGAATGGTGTAAATACATGAACACACCAGCGTCGAAACGCGAACGACTCCTGAACGTCATATCGCTCGAGTTCTCCCACACGAAACTCGAAAACTATGTTGAGAGCCCAACGGTGGTTCGTCAAGTCGACTGGATCGACGTCGCCTGGCCCAGACATCTGAAGGAATCGCAGACAGAGGCGACGAACTCTCTGGACGATATGAAATATCCCAAAGTTCAGAAATACTGCTTGATGTCTGTAGCGGGCTGCTACACAGATTTTCATATCGACTTTGGTGGCACCTCGGTTTGGTATCATATTCTCTGGGGAAAGAAGATATTTTGGCTGATTCCTCCGACAGAAACGAACCTCAAACTCTATGAAAGTTGGGTACTTTCTGGAAAACAAGGCGATATCTTCTTTGGACAGTCGGTAGAAAAATGTGCCAGAATTGAACTCCAAGCCGGAGAGACATTCTTCATTCCTAGCGGCTGGATCCACGCTGTGTACACCCCGATAGATACCTTGGTTTTCGGAGGGAATTTCCTCCACAGTTTCGGCATCAAGATGCAACTCCGAATTGCACAGGTAAGCGAGAATCGGAGAGAAATCGAGAAAGGCTCCTTCCTCCCATGAATCGATTCGGTCCCATTGTATAGTTGATCATTCCCCGACTATCACCTAGTTTAGAGACCAGGGAAAAGAAGCAATTTCAAGAAACGAGCTCTCTCCTTACAGATTGAGGACACAACGAAAGTGCCCCATAAATTCCGCTATCCATTCTACACCGAGATGATGTGGTAAGTCGGAGCTCGCCTGAAATATCGACGGAACTTCTCTCTGAGTTCTATGCAGTTCATAATCAATGACTCCTGTCGATCGATTTTCAGGTATGTACTACAGAGATACGTCATGTGTGTGACTGGACGTAACCATCTATCGTGCGATGAAGAAGGAAAACCAGTCTCGATCAACTGCCTCCTGGCGCCAAAGGTATATGTGCCTCTTCAATAGAAAGGGAAACCGTGAGAATTCAGAGAGGTATCCCACGGCAGGATCGGGATTTTGGTTCCGAGGATTTCGGAACTAGAATTGTTCAATCACACTAGAGATGGTTTGAACCGTGCTCGTTTTCCTAGGTGAAGCCGGAGATGGAATCCATCCGTTTGACGCAGAGAGAACTGCATGGCTTGTCACTCATCATTGATCATCTGCAACGACTCCCACCGTCGAAGAAGAGCTGTCCGGATCTATTACGGGACGCAACGGCTCTCCTCCAAGATGCCGCTGTAAGGGGCTTGTACCTACTCCTATTCGGGATTATTGCTATGGTTTCAAACCAATGGAAGAGGTGACCGAGAACGCCTCTCCGGAGCTCCAAGGAATACGCTAAAACCACGATTTCATTACAGCATGTTGTCGCGCTCCATGCCAATGACGATGAAGATTTGGCGATCACTGGTCATCCCATCCTAACTTGGCCGGAAGGCGCCGTTAAGCGTCGCCCTCTCATTCTACAAAATGGTGGTGGTCCGAAGAGACCCTTAGCTGCTCCGAGAGCCCCGAAAGGGCAACAGCGTCACGAAAAAGACCAGGACAAGGCTCGAAGACGGCGAACAAGGTTCGAGACCGACGCTCCATCCCAAGATCAAGAGCAAGGAATTCCTCGGATGCGAAACCGGATTTCGCTGAAGATTCCTATTTACAGATGCCGTAAATGCGACGCGTGTCTGAGAACCGATTGCGGTGACTGCCATTTCTGTAAAGACATGCGGAAATTCGGAGGTCCGGGTCGTATGAAGCAGTCTTGCTTGGCGAGACAGTGCATGGCCGTGAGTAAATACGCTCGAAGTTTTAACTGTGATACCACATCGGCCTGGAAGCAGCAATTTATAAATTGCTCTCTCGATAATTTCGAGCGATAAGACCGCCAAAACTCTGTAAATTGAAAGAAAAAAAAGCCATTGTCTGCGCTCCCATCCCGTCTTCTTCGAATTGGAAATTCAAATGCGCTATGTCGTCACCGGAACCTGTGCGATATCGTATGCGCCTCGCGAGCCTCTATCGAATATTCGTACGAAATTTACGTACCGGGCTTCGATGATGTTACCGCGATCGACTGATCCGCATGCATACTAGAGAAAGCTCTCGGTGACCTCAAGAGTTGAATAAGTCAAACCTTGCAGCCGGTTCTCCCGCATACTGCACAATGCATAATTTGTAAAACCGAGAGACCGAACCAGCTGGCTCCTCCCGGGGTTCCTCCGCCGGACGATGGCGTGATCCCCACAGAACAATTGATGGAATGCGTTCAATGTTGGGAAATCGTTCATCCCGACTGTTTTGTCATCGCACACCCAGAGTTCAAGGTGAGATTATCCGATGGCCCCGTCTCCTGACTTAGATTTCTGGAACAGCAAGAATGAGCTTTAATTGCTGGGACGGAAAATCTGGCCGGAGGTCGATCTGGCCTGCATGATATCGAGTGGTACCCACGTAGAGAAACTCGGCGATCGTTCCAGGTAAACGACGGCTTGCTCAACGAAGACCTTCCGAATAGCTGGGACTGTCCGAAATGTTGTAAAGAGGGTAAACCAGAACAAGCCAAGGTGAGACTTGAGAGAAATGTAAGAACCGTTTCGGTACGACACTTGGTTTGCTTCGAGGGCCCCGCCGATCACGGGCCAGAATCTCTGCCTGAGATGGATAAGCCGGAAATGGACGTGAATATTTCTCGGCAGACCCGTCACACGAAAGGCGGAGGTGGTAAGGGACATCCGCGAGTGACACCCTTCGTACAAGGATATCCCGATGACAGTCCACCAGAGAAGAAAATCAAATCCGAGGACGAGAATCGGTCTCTCCAGCATTCGTCACTGCAGGCCCAACGCCAGGGCGTTCTCGAGAACCTCAGCAATAAAATGATCGCTGTACAACCAAAGTGCGTCGTGCGTCCCGCGCCTTGTCTGGTAGGTTCATGCCTGACATGCCTTCGGCGGAGCCCAATGCCCCCTCAAGAAATGAGTGGGGCTCTCTTACCCTCCTTGGTGGAGGTCTCGATAACTCACTGCTGCTCGTTCCCTACAGGAGCCCCCGGCGTCGAACTGTGAGGGTTTCGTGAACAATTCCCAAATCATGCTTTTAGTGATGCAGTACCTCAATGTCAAAGATCTCCAAAACTGTTCCCTCGTGTGCAAACGTTGGAACGAATTCGCGACCCACGCGAGCTTGTGGAAGCACATGGATGTTTCTAAGACTCGTCTCAGCAGCAAGTGAGTCAAACCGCGAGTGTGTCGACCGACTCGTTGTCGGATCGAGCGAAGAGCTGACCAAAAATAAAATAATGATAATCATATCCGGGGACTTTCCGGGCTTCTCGCCAAAGTCATTCTATTCGGTTAACGGATCGATTTCTCCTTTGCTCAGATCCCTCGTGGGTATTGTGAGGCGACAGCCTCTGTACCTCAACGTATCCTGGACCTCAATGAGCCAAGAACAACTTTTGTGGTTACTACCGAGAATTCCATCCCTCAAAGGTCTGATTCTCCGCGGGCTGTCCGTCCATTCCCTCAAGGTGAGTTGGATGGATTCGTGATCCCAGCGCTGGACGACATCAATAATTTCGAGACCTTACTCTGAGGAGAAGATGTGCAATGTACATTATTCACGCAGGCGTTGAATGCTGACCAGGGTCCCCAGCTGCGTTTTCTCGACCTGTCCTGGGTAGACGGGCTCGATGATGAGAGACTTAAGGACCTCCTCTGTCCTGACACAAGCGATGCTAGATGGTCAAAACAGATGCGAGCCGTCAGCGAACTGAAACTTTGCGGAAATAGCCTCACTGGTGAGTCCTCGCGGAAAATCGACATCCAATTCGAGTCGCCGTTCGGGACCCTTTCCCGTAAAACTCCGCCGTTCCGGCGATCCATGGAGGGATTAGCCGCGGAATCGATGAATAAATCTTCATTCCTTCATGCAGACAGTGGAATTCGGAGTCTTTGCCAGCACATGCCAAATTTGCAACAACTCGACCTCTCCAACTGTAATCGAGTTACGGACCTCTCTTTGATGATGCTTGCGTCGAAGCTGCATTCGAAGCTCAGCCGTCTCGTCATATCGCATTGCCCACAGGTCAGTCAGAAGAGCGGAATCGAGGCTATCGTCTTCTCCGAATGGTATGAGTCGCCTTGGAATCGAAGCAGAAGGCGGTCCTATTCTAAAGGAATCCTTGTGTTGCAGGTGAGCGATGCAGGACTCGAGGCTCTGAAAATATGCTCGAAGCTCGAGTGCTTGGACGCGCGAGGCTGCACCAAGGTGAGCTACCATTTTCGGAGATATCGCCGCATTCAGATTGAGATGAAGCGGATACCTGGAACTACCTAAGTATGTTTCCCTGCGGATCGAAATAATTCCCCTCGTTTTTCTGGATCCAGGTCACTGAAGACGGTATAAAGAGACTCCTCGTGTGTATGTCGACTCTGAACGCCATCCGGGAAGGGAAATTGATCACAGCTAAATAGCCCAATCGTTTGGATTCGAGCCAGAGTTCGAAGCATCGATTCAAGAGCGACAACCATATGACAAGGAAACGATCTCATACCCGGTGCACATTTACTTAAACGTTGAGATCGAAGATCTATCGAACCGAAATGTGACTGGGAAATTAGATCTGACAACGAGGGGAAGGGCACTCCCTTGAGGTACTCCTTGAGTTAGATACTTTCTGCAGATTTCTTTTCTCATCAATTATCACTTCCGTTCGATGGCGAGCGGGTCGACGTTCCGCGTACGTTAATATGCTCAGGAGAACACCTTCCGTATTGAGACTCTCGGTTTCTTTATCGATGATTCAAGTGCTTGAACTCCCAGGTCGGGCGCCGTGATTCTCGACTCAGAACAAGTCGCCAGATCTGATGAGAATGATCTCAACAGGATGAATATCGAGTGACCCCACCAAAAAGACGAACGTCGACTCTGCGAGCTTCCCCATTAGAAATATTCTTGTCGATGTAAAAACTAGTCGAACCCACGAGAGCTCCGAGCTCGCAATATTTTTCCCAATCAGTTCTCCTTGCAATGTTTAAAGATCACTCGTTTGAAGTTATCTTCAGTTTGTCGTGGGTAGTTTCACGGAACATAATTTCGAAAACCGCGAGTGACCGTCATTTTTAGTGAAGACGAGCTCACTCATTCCCAAAATGCTAGGGTTTCTGCTGATACCGCTACTGCCGGGTTTCGGGGCGAGGTATCCGGACGCAGACCTAGACTCCGTCAATCGGAACATCCCCGAACCACGTCTCAGTCGGTGGCCCCGCAGAATCCTAGCTCTTTAGATAAACCTCTGAATGAGGTTTTGCATTTGATCGCGCTGTCTAGAACATCATCCTGTGTTGCATACAGACGATATTCTCTGTATACTACCATATTTTTGTAAAATTCTCTCCGTTCGCCGTCGGAATCAACTTGTAATTTGATGGTCACAGACGATGATATCCATGATGGGCACGGATCGGAGAGGAAATGTCAGGAATATCGACTTCCTACGAAATTCCTTTATCACGTCATTATACGAACACCTTCATCGGAACTAAGATCATACACCCGTCCTTCCGACATGACGGAAGCGGTGATGATGATGTCGCGAATGATAATTCTCGTATGTACAATAAATGGAAGCGGATATACAACGATGTCTATCTCTTCTCGTAGAGCATGTTTCATGGAGAGAAAATGGAAATTCGACGAGTTTCTGTACATTCTGTAGCACTGGGCTCTTTGAGCGTTGATGCCCCCCGGCTTATGTGTATCCCTTGAGTCTGAGCTTCGCCATTCAAGTTCTGTGTCAGGGGGGGGCGGTTAGGTTCTAGAATAGCGGAAAAATCTCCGATAGAGGTGAACTTTTTGTCACACTGTGCCCGCTCAAGGTCTTCTCCGTTCGATGGCTCCATTTTCTGGGACCCGACAGAATGTTCTGGTATCCGTCTACCAATGTCGATCCGCCTGATCTTTTCGCACCCACAGATAGACTTCCCTGGTTTCGGGGGTTGCGACCTCCCTCTGAATTCATTCAAGAACAGCTAACACTATTTTACTGATTCAGGGTTTCGGGATCATGGCATTTCAAACAAAAACTACCTAATCAGAAGCAATCGCACGGATGTGCTCCATCAGCCTGTTTGTTTTCCGCTCACCTTCACCGATCCAATCGGCAAGATTCACGTATGTTATATATGCACATCGATTCTGTAAAGAATTCCGTCTGATTGGATCCTGGTTCTGTTGCAGGGACGCTTACATAAGCGGATTCTACAAATCTTGATATGCATAAATTATTTTCAGCTCGCATGCCGGCCGAGAGCCCACAAAGCGTCGCGGCTTGCGGAACGAGCCCTCCGTACTGAAAGACATCCCCAGATTAACACCGGGGTGATATCCGACAATGCGAGAGTCCGCTCAAGGTATTAGCTACTGGAGTGAGACGGATGTTCATGCTGTCAGCACGAGGGATAATCTTTCGGAGAAGGGTAGATCCCCTGCGGCAAAAACATAGTTTTGACCGAGACGGAGCGATCGCCAGAATCTCTGCTCTCCACCAACTCTTCTCTCTGCACGAGTCTTCGAGCAGAGAAGGAGCCGACTGGGCTCATAAGCAAAGACTTGATTTCGCTCCAATGCAGCCGAAGTTCGGAGGCGATCGATCAGATAAGATCCTTGGTGTCACCGCGGCCCATTGTTAGCCAGGCATGATTCTTCAGATGCAGAGAAGATCGGTGTTTGCGGCTCTGAGCTCGCAGCGAGAAACCATCTTGGTTATTCCCCACGTTTTCGTCTGATTCCGTCTTCTCACCCATTATTATCAGCCGTTCTCGCGCATAAAACGCAGTCTGAAATTCCGTTGACGGCCTGTTGCGTGTTGCAGACCCAGAAGTATCTTAGCCTCTTCACTGCTATTCCCCATTTACTTCCAAGAATCGTGATGCCGCGGTATGTCACGCGAGCTGCGCTCCGACAACGCAACGGTGCTCTTCATCCGCCCAACACGATTACATCGGAACTAGACGCCCTCACGATGTGGCCTGGGGCAGAGATCGAAGCGACCGAAGATTAATTCTAAAATGTGGATTTTCTTCTCCAAGAATGAGCAGATTCGTTTTTCATGGAATCGGAGGCGAGTTCGTGAAAGCGGACACAGGAGCCTTATCGGCTTTCCGGTAGGGCGGTTCAATGACGAATTATAACGAATGGGGTGCCACCAGGCGATGATTCTGATAAGATTTGAACCTGAATCTCTCCGTATCCTTGCGCCTGTTCCTCGCCGAGATCCTGTCCGCATTCCGAAAATTGAGCGAAAGTTTTGTCCGCTATCTCTGCCATTAGCGGCGATCGCGACAATCCGGGCCGAACACGGTCGAAAGCATGGAAAACAAGCATCGCTCGCCGAAGACCCCCCATCGCTCAGCTGATGAAGTAGATTCTCGTGTTAGCGCGAAGCGAGTAAAACACAGTAGAATCTCGCGACAGGCGACATGTACCTGCGGCCAATGAGCTGAGGTCTCTCCGTTCTGTAGCCCTGAGTTCTCCATATCTGCGATGACAGACATGGGCATCTACGCTCTTATGTACTCAGCTGGGAGAAGTTGGTCGATCGGTCGGAAATTCTTTCGGGCCTTACCGGGTACTGAGAAACCTCGAAGTTCCGGCTGAATGAAACTTCGGAACGGCTCCTCGCTGATGCGTTTCGCTGTCTCTGGAGTCGCGACTAGAGACTCACGGGTCTCGAGTCACAATCGATCGCGAGCGAGGACGCGCGTCGTGGGATTCATTCAGAAGAATGCTCAACTATTCGCTAAAGGCAATTTGGGATTCTCGCAAAACCGCTGACGCCACCTGTCCGACTCCCTCCGTCAGAGCATTGACGCAGGTTTCCCTGGAAGGGACTTCGATCGGTCGGGGTCCCGCCCCAGGTTCGATTCTCTCTTTGAAGTCACTGAGATCCTCAAACCGGATTCTTTTCGGCACGCGAGCGATGTTATCCATCGGAGTTGATGACACGCTAGCCCGCTCCCATCGAATTAGGATTCACTTTTGTTTCAAAAGATGCATCCTTCGTGATCGTAAGGAGTTCAGCGAACAGTTTCCCACTGTAGAGTACCTAGTCCGCGGTATGGGTGGATTTACCTTCTGTACACCTTCCCCGATGGCATAGCTCTTCCGAAAAGTAGCGTAGGTTCAAACGGTAAACTTTCCGAGGTGGAAGGCGTGAACCCGGAACTCTATGCGCCCGGTCTTCTTCAAGTTCGCCGTCCATCAATCAATGTCAGATATTCTTAGATCGAAGCGCTGTGTCGACGACCGTCTTCGTCGCTTACGGGATGCATTAATCTTCTGTTACGTTGCTCTCTCTCATTCGCTCTTACTCAATAAAACTGTCCCGCAAGTATCTATCTAGCGCTCCATCGGTGCTCCCCAAGGTCGGCTGATATCAGAAACAGTCGGCGCCGGTTACAGCTGACAGAAGCCTTCCGCATGGGTTGCAGAACGCTTCCGTCAGCCACGGCGGAGCCATCCGTGTTCGAGTGAAGTCTTCTCCGCGAAAAGAAACGTGGTCGGAGGCCGCTCCATGAACTCGCTCCGCCTCTCCTGCACTCTCAAGAAACCGCTCTGGGAGACCCTCGAGAGACCGACAGTTCGCTTCCACTGAAGCGGTTCCCGGCGCAAATCTCGAGAGAAACTATCGGTGAACCTCAACTAGTTCGAAGCGCGCCAACGTTGACGGATCACGCGATCCGGTGTTCGTGCATTAGCCATCGGAAGTGCCGTTCGCCGTCGTTCTGAATTTTCCACATCATCAATTCAAATGAGCTCGTACAAGTCGACAGGATACATGATATCGGACGTTTCCTGAGAAAGTGTCGCAGCTCCGGTTCCGAACGGTAAGCGTCGCGAGCGATGTGATCTGTTGCAGAAAGAGGTTTCGGTCAAATCGATTTGACGAGAAAGTGCTGCGCTATTGATTGCGGCTATTTTCAACGTTCCATAAAGAACGAATTCTCTCCCGGCTCTCCCGAGCTCTGAGTCATTGAGAGAAGACTTCAGTGTCGTCAGCCGCGAGCATCTTGCAGCTCTGCATATGAGGGGACGATTCCCTCAACAGGGAAAACAGTGGAAATCGATGATTGATCTGGTTGAAGCCGACAGAGCGTGTCAAAAAGCTTTCGACGAGCCGAATGACACATTTGACGGAGACCCGCGGATCTATGCTCTCTATAAGAATTTGAAATAGATTTTCGGCTAGATCTTCTCCTTAATTCTTGTGTCTCCGTGATGGAGGATTCATTCTTTCGGAGGTGGAGCTCACCGGGAAGCATTAGCCGGCGGTCGATCAGAGTGCTTCTCGGCTCGAAGCTCCGAACTATGATAGGTAGATAGTATGATAGAACTATGGTAGAATTATGACGGATATCATACGCATACCGCTCAGCTCCAACGAACTCGACAAGGCTCAGTTTCGTGAGCTGAAATTCCGTGGGAGAGCGCTTCGTACATCGGCAGTGTCTGGCTGTAGGGGAGGCGAGTTTCCGGACGCTTGCGTGGAACGGGCACCCCCGGAATAGGAGAATTGGAATGACCACATAGAAAAACGATTTGACCTCGCTGCTCGGGTCGACGACTTCGCAGAGAGCTTCGTCGGACAACCAATGATGGTTTTCTGGATCTTTGTCCAGTCCTGTCACAAAATATTTTGAAGCCTTCGATGCTCGCAAGATATGGGATTTTTATTCAGATACCGAATAATTCAATTTTCGAAGATTTCTCCGCATGTACTGACCCCATCAGTCAAGCGCATTTCGGAGAATCCAGAACAAGGTGAATGAAGCTTCCGCTCGTGACCCGTAAGACCGTCTGCCTCCTACACGATGGCTCGCGGCGACGATTTTTCATCAGGTGCTCAGGCTTCGCAATACGAGTCATGAGCGAAACTCTCCCTCCGTCGGTTCCCTGGAAAAATCATTAGAGTTCTTGGTCGCCACTGGTCGGCAACACTTCACAATGTTCTTCCGTGTGATGAATCCGCGTGTTTTCCGTCCTTACGCTTGCCGTCGCAGCGTTTCGAAGTAGTTCGTGAGAGAGACAGCTAGGACTTGATATCCCGCTCTCTGTACGTCGGCCCCGCATATGATTCACTTTTCCGTGCATTGATTGCATCCTTTTGGGATATCGAGTAATCATTCGCGAAATTCCAAGTACACTCGGGTGGAACATGCTAATCCGCGAGGTCCCGCGAGGTCTGGATCTGGTCCATTGTCCACCTAGAGCACGAATCGTCCGAGAGCTCGGGAAGTGAACTCAAAGCCCAAGCTGTCCGGTTTCGGAGCTCGAACTCGATCCGTCGAGAGAAAGTAAAGTAGGTAGAGTTCAATGCATTCCTTTTGGCGCGTTAAAGGTCTGATCTCTCACACCGAAGGACAAGTCTAGGTCTGAAGGGATATAACTGGATCCCAAGGATGACGCCAACGGCATCCTATATAAGTTGATCGTGGAGCGTCGAGGATCATTCCCTATTCTGCTGTAAGATCGGGAAGGTCGTTCTGAGTAACTGTTGCCAATCTATGCATGCATCCAAGCAAAGCCGTCACAGATGCCGCGAGAAATAATTTCTGAGGCACTTGCCGAGGGAATAGGCACAACTTCCAATCGGCAGTCGCGACTGAGCTGATTGTCTCGCCGATTCTGCAGGTGGTAAACACTCGAACCCGGACGATGTCATGCTGCTCAATCGAAATATCCTTTCTGTGCCTGCTCGCCCTTCAAAGTGCCATCGGCTTCCGTCAGAACGCGGTGTTCGATGACAGACCTTGGGATGAAGATTACTCTTTATGGAAGCAGGGGACGGTGAGTGGAATCTAAAACCGCAACTCTATGACTTCTTCTCGTAATTAGTGACTCGCAGTGATCGTCCCATATTCGGTAGAACCCAAAAAAAACTCAACCGGTGTCAAGGTCCATTGTCAGGTGTGAACGATCGGATGACGCGGATCGAGGTCACGCGAGAGAGGTCAATCGTAACTCTCCTACATGCAGTCTCCCTCGAGAATTTCGGGAATAGAGAGGCGCTTGGAAGCTTCGCTCGATTGATGTTTTTCGTGACGTTTCAGGACGTTTTCATCCGTAGCTACGGCCTCGCCTTCGACTGGGAATACACTATGACGGAAGATGACTGCACTCTGGCATTGCACCATCTATGGAACCCCAGAATCAAAGGGCCGAAAATCCCCGTTTTATTTGTGCATGCTCTCATCGCCGACGGGGATACGTGGTTCGTTTCAAAGCCGTCGAATAGTTTAGCCATGGTCATGGCGAAAAACGGTTACGATGTTTGGGCATTGAACTATCGCGCTACGTCCTACAGTCCGATCGAAAAACATCAATATGTGAACACAACGTAAGCTCTTCCTCGGCGAATAGTGTCCCCGGAATCGTATACAACGCCATGGAATAGAATGATCTACCCGAAGGTGTCCATAAAAGGTTGTAACTACTTTCTCCACTCCCCTTCTGACCCGGCTCACCCAACGCTTTCAGTATCGATGATAACGCTCTGAAAGATCTCCCGGCTAGTATCGATTATGTCCTCCAGAGGACGGGCTACCCGAGTCTCAACTTAGTTTCGATGTCTAAGGGTGGATTCGTGTCCCTGGCATTATTGTCGACGAGACCAGAATACAACGCCAAGGTGCGACTCCACTATACAATGGTCCCAGTGACTGCCGTGACACAGCCTCGAGGGTGGATCAAGTATTTCTTGGAGTTTCATCGCTTCATGGTTGGCAAGGTATGTCAGAGAGAAGTTTCTTCCCCGAATGTCCATTTTTCGGCTTGAGGCTCCGGGGGGTCAACGGATCTCGAACCAGGCCTGAAGTACCATGAATTTGGATTCTTCTCGTTCCAGCTCGGAGACATCTATATGAGCCTCTTCGACTCGAATACCCTGTACTTCGATTTTTTACATTTCTGGGAGTTCCCGTTATTCCTCCAAAGGCTCGCTGATACGCTTCCAGGGTTGGAGCAGCGGATAGTCAATTGGCTCTGGGATGCCCGATTCCGACGCGGACATATTAACATGGATAGAGTGAGCAAAAAGTCTCGGCACCAATCGATATTGTCCCGGGTTACTCTGTGGTCGTCTGGAACCCAGATATATTTATTTGAGAATCGCACGTGCGAACTATCCTGACTCAGCACTGGACTTATTTTCAGGAGATCATCTCGAAGGCAGTGAAACGCGGTTTTCCTACGAAGTGGTTTGGTCGGGAGATGATCCAATTCTCTCAGAACACATTCTCCGGACTTTATCGGAGATATTCGCCTTCGTGGCTCGCTGACCCGAGGAGCGTTTATCGATCGACTTTACCGGTAAGATTCCGAAGGAGCCATCAAAAGGAATGAGAATATTTGTCAAGCATTCCAATGCTCGTCCTCGTGTGGCCTAATGCTGAAGTGTTTACCGCTCATCCTGGAGAAGTCAGTCAGGGCGATTCTGGGGAGCCCGTTCGTTCTGAGAAGTTCCGAGGGGGGAAGGTTAATGAATCTGGGTCTCAACCCGGAGAATCTCCGCTCCTTCAAGCGCAATCGGGGAGGAGCGGAGATTCTCCGGGTTCAGACCCAGATTCATTCACCTTCCCCCCTCGGAACTTCTCAGAACGAACGGGCTCGCCAGAATCGCCCTGACTGACTCCCTTCCGCAGAGAAGGGAGTCTCGGACGTCAGTCTCTCATTGATTCATTCCTTTCCCCTCCCCCTTCCCCAAGGACTCAAGACCATTCGACTTGAGCCGGATAAAAGCTCCGCACATTATGCTTCAAGCGAATACGGAAATATTCAGTACTCCCGCCGATAATGAACGGATCCGAAACGAGCTGTGCCATACCTTCATCTCGGGACCCCGAGCCTCCAAATGTGAGCGGATATGACTTAGAATCGGGATCATTCTCGACCTCCTTTGGGCGAGCTATCTACTCCTCTCGTCGCCATAGCCTGGTTGATTCGATTTGAACGATTGTATGAATCGAGACTGATACCGACGCTTTGCAGATGCCTTCGAAGTGAGCGTCCCCAACTTTCAGCATGTGGACCCACTGGTGGGGCGACAGAACGCCGAGATCTATGTCAACGCAATATACATGACGTTCCGCGACCATGATATCTCCTTGAACAAGACGTTCGCCAAGATCCTGCCGAGAATCGAAGCAGAATGGAAATACCTCGTGCCACAGCCTTGCGTTCCGATCAGATGACGCTGACGGGCCTTATGCATTACATATTGAAGCTTCCTGACTCCAACGTTCCGATTTGATGAGCCTTGCTTGACTTTCGACTCACATAGCTTCGACGAGCGGTAGAGAAAAAATGATCGCAGACAGTTTGTAGATAACTTACAGTATTGTCGAGAAGACCGTCGGAATTATCGGGTTGTGACTGACTGAACGATTGTGAATTGTGAGTCGTTCTCCGAAGCATCTTTGAAAGTTGTCTTATAGCTTCGTCTCATTGCCAGAAACGAAAACCCGAGGGAAGAGACACGAATTTATGCCAAATCAAGATTCGATGCCGTGAGAGAGTCGAGCGGGCTCACACCAAGTCTTCAAAAGGCATTATTTTTTCCATCGAGTGAGATTTTTGCGGACAGAATAAAGTAGTCTGTGAGAATTCGAAGCAAGGTCGCTCTGTCTATCCATTGGCTCCCGACTCTCCATAAGCCACAGGTAGGAGACAGGAGGCCTTCCCCCCCCGCGAATCCCTCGACGGCATTGCGAGCAGCGTGCGGATCTTCTGAGGCTGAGTGCTTCAAACGCTCGGCGGATTTTCCAAAACTCGGTCGGATGATTCTCTCGAGCGGTTTCCCGGAGCCTAAACCAAACCCGATATCGATTTGCATTCCAGGAGAATAGGCTCAATACATAATATAGAAAACCCTTGAACTTATTGATCCTGCACGAGATGGGACGAAAAAGTCGTGCGGATCAGTGTGGAATGATTGCCAGATTAGACGGATCATATCCTCCCACTCAGAGTTCCATTGATACATGTTTGTGTCGTTGCCTGTCCGCGCTTCGAAGCGCAATGATCTACCTCGAGTGAGAAGTCTCAACCATTGTGAACTGACCCGCAGAATAGCTGACCGCTGATGGATCATTCCGAAGTCATCAGATCAGGAGAAGGACTTACCGGGCCTATCTCCAGTCTGACACGTCCGACAGCCTCCCGGTGCCAAGAGCTGTGTGATTAGGATTTGAGTTGTGAACGGGTGCTACGAGCTTAGGAGCTGCTCAATTCGTCATAGGTCATAGCAAGACATATTTGTCTCTTCGGCTTCTAATGAATAGAAGGAACCGACTCGGAGCCTCGTATCGACTCCAGAACGGGGGGGATCATACCTACATACATGGGATTCCTGGGGTGACGGGATGACTCTTTGGGTATTCCAGAGTTTCGTGTAATGACTTGAGGGAAGAATGTCCGCACACGGCAAGAGATCCATCGCAAAATACCCCATCTCCCGGAGGAACAGCCAGGGACCGGATGCCGGAGGAAGGGTTCGCGTCCATAACGTCCGGAGAACGTTATGTATTGTCTGCTGCCCTAACCACGGAATAGAGCTGGGAACTGAGTGGTAATTGGAATACGGACTCCGTCAGGTAATCAGCCAATACATCTCAGGCAAATATTCACGGATCAGTCGTAGCCTCCTCCGATGATTGAGATTCAAATCTCGGAATCGACCAATGCCTACCGATCGAGATTTTTCTGGAAGTTCTTGACAAGGTGGAGGCTCGCAGACCTTCCGTCTGGACGAGCAGAGAGAGGCGTTTTTCTGCGGGCTTTTGGACAAGGACATCGTGGATATGATTCTTGACTGGGCGCAGACAGGTCGCAAACAATCGCTCAAGTGACATGAGGAGTAATCGGAGTTATCCGGGTGAAGTCGCCGTCTGCTTCCTTTCATTTCATCTTTCTCCCTCCGACGGCGGGCGATAAGGCGCGGGAGCATTTTCGACATGCGTTCTATGCTGATGGCCTTAATCGAGTCCGCCGTTTCCTCCTCCGCGTCTGAATCACCAACAGACTTTCTAGCGGATTTCGAAGGTCAGCGCCGATTTGCAATGCTGATGGTCTTGGCTCGAGAAAGTGAAACGGACTCCCAGAACGCTTTTTCATTGTTCCGGTGGTTACCCATCCCGAGCTCATTTTCGGAAGCTGCATAAAAACTCTCCCCCGATGTGAACCTCCCCGCTTGCTCTCCCTGGATATTAGAATACCGCAACTCGGATTGGGGCCGATGAGACTGCCGAGCCGTAGCTGAGATGGTGCAAATAGCTAAAAAACTCTTTCGGGCTGGACCACACAGCCAAGGTTTAACGTCCCGGGTGCTGTTATTCACATTGCTTCCGAGGACGGAACCATAGAGCAAATGTACCCAGGAGGATCAAGGCCGTGTACCTGCGGGGCAAGTAGCCAAACGCGTTGAAGTCGACCCTGCGCGAGGCCATCATGATCCTTGACAGGATTCAGCGACGGAAGATCCTAATATCTGACGTTTCCCTTCGCGAGGGCAGGCATCGAGAGTTAACTTATAAGCTTGAGCCTAGCGAGGGCGAGAGGAGACTAGGCCTTCCAGCGGATCGGATCCGCGAGATCCGCATGATTTTCGCGGATCTGGATCCGCAAGATCTGCAGGATTTTTCGGATCCGGATCCGCAGGATCCGCACGAGTTTGTTCCACGAATTCCACGAATGTAGGGGAAAACCATCGTACATACATAGTAGTCGGGAGGAAAGCGACCATTAATCGCGTTTCTCCGATGGAGGAAGCAGGTAACGCGAGTCATGAATTTCCCATTTCGGTTCGGAACCTCTCGTCTCAAAACTGAGGGCTTGTTCCCTCACTCATTTCCCGCCGACATGACGGCTCTGCATGTCGGACTTCGCTGCGACTTATGACCGGGATCCGGTCGATAGCAGCTGAGAGACAACTGTTCATACCTCATGCGCAAGCGTTCTTATTCCGCAGTTCGTGATCTGGACTGCTCCCCGCGAACAAGTTTGTAGAGCCTAAAATTATCGAGAATAAACTGCAGCCCTCCTGCCGGTACGAGCCCGTATATCCATTTTTGTTGTTCTCCTTGTATTTAGACGGAGCATTCCTCATCATGGAGGACTTCAAGGTAGCGACGGACCAGATGAGCTGGGTTTGGAAACATTTCTTGGAGAGTTCCAAAAGCGGAAAATGCATGAAATGCTTCAGGGTAGGCTCCGCATAGATATCATAAACATGTGGAGATCAGCAGCGAATCCGCAGAGAACTGTACATAAGTTGTACACATGTATACGTATTTTTTTCTGGATCCGGGTTGGTGCGGATCTTATCCGCGGATCCGGGATCTGCGAATCTCAAAGTTCACGGATCTCTGGAAGGCCAAGAGGAGACACGAGCCCCGGGCGCATCTCCCGGGGGAAACGATTCCCGACTCCGACTTCCGGAAAAATGGAGACTCCTCCATAAATTTCCCGGCAGAGCAGGTCATCTCCTAGTAATGTGTGCCGGAAGTTACGGATTTCGTTACCTCAGGGTACCCGAGTTTCTACCTGGGCGTTCGTCTCCTGAGAGGAGTTTCTTCTTTGGGGTGACATTTTTCGGATTTCGCCGGGGCGCTGTATGGACTAGCTACGTCTGGGCTGATCGGGATGGCTGAATATGCGCGGACTCTCGGAAAATTCGCTCAGATATCTGCGGTGGCCCTTTCCCGCCGCAATAGAGCGCTGCGGCTGGCTCGCGGAAAACTTTTCGTTTATGTTCGTCCCATCCGAGTTTGTTATAATACGGTCCTGTTTGAGCAATGATCCGAAGAGTCCGGGGAAACGTTCCATCGTGATATTAACCACAGATAGCACTGTCTTATATCAAAGCGACTGGCGACCTCTCATGCCGAAGGCTTCACATCGTTCGAGGTCTGGAAGGATGGAAAGTCGACGTGATGTGGGGAGTATCCAGGCTCCACAGAGCTGGGGCCAGCTCATGGATATTGATTCGGGCACGGAAAATCGGATCGCTGAATTAGGAGCGGAATCCTGAGTTTATAAGAGGTGCATAATGTTTCACGATGCGGAATAAGGAGCTAAGGGAAATCTTGTCCATCCGCATCAAACCACTCCCCAAGGTGAAGGTCGCAGTGCACATCAGATTCGGAGTTAGCCATCCTGCATATTAGAAGCTGGTTCGACAGCGCAATCATTCCGCGTCATTGAGCGCTGTATCGCCTCAAATTGCGTTCGCCTACTCCGATTGGATAATTAGCTCGACTCGGAAGCACTCCGCTAGCAATCGCGCCAATTGGGCAGATGCGTGATGGCTATGGTCCCGCCGACGGGAATGTTCGCCATTCGAATCCGCAATTTTGACGACTTCCCTCTAGAGGGAGCGAGCCGAGAGGATCATCCCGAAATCTTTTCGTGTTGCGTCGGAATCCTGCCCATGGATTACAGAATTTTGTGAAAACTTTGTCCCACATCTTGACGAACTACCGCCTCCTGATCCCGGTTTGGTTTGGTGCCCGCGTGGTGTATCGGCTCAAAACCCCCCTGGAGTCTATTGACATGAGTTCAGCAGGCTCTGGCTTCAGTCTCGTTCCGCTTCCCACTTGATCCCAATCTCAATCCAGCTGTGAAGTAAGGGAGCAGAAGGATGAGCCCAAGAATCGTTGGAGGTCAAAGCTGTGCACACTTCTCTCTTTCAGACGCAGGCCAAGCAGCAGCCGCGTCTTGCCAAAAGCAGCCAGCGGCGTCAGGATATCCGGGTAATTGTTGTCATGCTTGACCTGCAAAGAAGCACTTGAGGTGGAAAGGTCCAAACACTCCTCTTGACCCTTTTAGTGATTCAATTTTCTTCTTGAAATTCTCTGCTTTGCAATAGGGGAGTTTTTCCCTCTCTATCGGAACGTGGTAAGTACCCCTTCTGCCTAGATCCCGGGAAATCGCATTCGATGAACAACACTCCAATCGATCATTGTCGGAACTGTTGGGTCAAGTGTGATTCGAGTGTTCGGCTGGAATGAATAGCGCCCACCCAATATTCTATCAATCATCCTCTGCTTCGGTGTCCCGCGTCCCGGACCCTATCTAATGGAAGTTCGCTCAAAGCTAGTCGGCGCGAAAGTGAAGCCGAGCGAGATATTTCCCGCGTGGGGAGCGAGCAGCTCCGAGCGGAGCAGAGTACAATACATGTATCCCAATCACCCGG